CCATTCCAATGTAGTGAAGAATTTCCTCTGTGTTTGTTTTTACTAGCTCATTAGCTTCAGATCTTAAATTTAGATCTTTGATCCATGTTAGTTTATTTACATACATGTTGAGAGATAGCATCTAGTTTCTTCTGATGCATGTGATACTCAGTTTTCCCAAATGATTTTCACTGAAGAGACCATTGTTTTGCCAAAGTACATTCTAAGCACCCTGGCAAAGGTCACATGGCTATAAATATGTGGGTTTATTTCTAGGCTCTCTGTTCCTTTAGATTTTTTTTTTAAGATTTACTTAGAAGGAGGGGGAAGGGGGGAGGGAGGAAGAGGGAGGAGGGATCTTTAATCCACTGGTTCACTCCCCAAATGGCCACAACATCCAGGACTGAGCCAGGCCAAAGCCACGAGACTCCATCTGGGTCTCCTAGGTGGGTGCAGGAGCCCAAGGATTAGGCACATTAGCAAGGACCTGAAACAGAAGTGGAGCATCTGGGATTTGAACTGGCACCCATATGGGATGCTGGCTTTGCAGGCAGCAGCTTAACCCACTGCAACACAATGTTGACCCCTGCTCTTTTGTTGTATGCGCTTTTATGACAATACCATGCTGTTTTTATAACCAGAGCTTTGTAGAATATTTTAAAGTCAGACAGTTCCTACCACTTTTCACTCAAGATTACTTCAGCTCTGCATACTCAAGTAGGGTGTTTTTCTACCTTTTGGAAAATGCTCTTGATATACTAACAGGGATTATACTGAATCTGTAAATCACTTTGGGTAGCATGAACAGTTAACAGTAAACACAATGACAGTGAGCAATGGTCTGGGTGTGGAAGGCACAGTTCAGCAACTCTTTTGAACTCAGCTGCTGACAGCTTTGGAGCAAGAGCTGTGAGAAATGCTTGCACTTAAACCTAGGAATCTTTATTGCCTACAATGCCACTCGACACCAGCGTGTTTGTGAATCGTACATGTTTCAATCTGTTTTACTTATTAGGCTTCGGCCATGCATCAGGCACTAAGATGCAAACTAGAAAGACATCACCCTTGCCTGTGACTTTGGAGAAGTAAGGAGATAAACACAATGAGGGGTAGCTGCACATATAAGTGTCAAAAAGAACCCAAAGCAGGTGGATATGATGGCACTGCAGTTTCCCTGGGTTCCCAGGATGCTTCACCACACACTCTCCTGAAGAGAACTTTCTAGAAGGGGCAGCAAGTGCTGTTTGGGAACTCAGGATGGGGCAGAGAAGGGAGTGAATGGGACACATGGGTAGGCTCATGGACACAGGTGGGTGTCTGTGGAACGAGGAAGCTGATGGTGCATCCTAAACAGAATGTGGCACGGACAACATTCAGTCCGTAGGGTCTCTGGACACTGTGGTCCCTGTGTCAGGGAAAGGTTGGTGGTTACAGCAGGTAAGCAAAAAGAGGCTGTGCCAAGAGGAGGTGAAAGGCAGGAGGGTGTGGAATGGAGACTTGGGAGATCCAGATCTAAGAGCATCCTTGGTGATGCATGCACAACTGTCAGTCAAAGGAGCAGGCCTTCTAGTGAGAATCAGGTGCTACCTCACATCCCCGAGGGGCCGTGTGCCTGATCCCAGGACACAAATGGGTCTGGGGTTACCAATGACAGGGCCAGGTTTGAAGAGCAGGTAAGGGTGGCCTGGGGTTATGGTGCCAAAGGCTGGAGTGAAACATTACCCTGACTCACTTCCATTTCTTCTGCATGGCTCATAAAGATGGCAGCGGTGTGCAGCTCAATTCACAATAGCTAAGACCTGGAATCAACCTAAATGCCCATCAACGGTAGACTGGATAAAGAAATTATGGGATATGTACTCTTTAGAATACTATACAGCAGTCAAAAACAATGAAATCCAGTCATTTGCAACAAAATGGAATAATCTGGAAAACATCATGCTGAGTGAAATAAGCCAGTCCCAAAGGGACAAATATCGTATGTTCTCCCTGATCAGTGACAACTAACTGAGCACCAAAAAGGAAACCTGTTGAAGTGAAATGGACGCTATGAGAAACGGTGACTTGTTCAGCATAGCCCTGACTGTTAATGAACAACTTAATACGTTATCCCTCTTAGTACTTTTTTGTCTGTTCTACTTAATACTATTGGTTTAATTCTGTAATTAATACACAGTTATTCTTAAGTGTTGAAACTTAACTGAAAAGTGATCCCTGTTAAATATAAGAGTGCGAATAAGAGAGGGAAGAGATGTACAATTTGGAACATGCTCAAGCTGACTTGCCCCAAATGGCAGAGTTAGAAACATACCAGGGGATTCCAATTCAATCCCATCAAGGAGGCATGTACCAATGCCATCTCACTAGTCCAAGTGATCAATTTCAGTTCACAATTGATCATAATGATAGGACTAAGAATCAAAGGGATTACACAACAAGACTAGTGTCTGAAAATACTAACCGATGGAACAAAAAAGGGAGAGAACGATCCAACATGGAAAGCAGGATACACAGCAGACTCATAGAATGACGGATGTCCTAAACAGCATCCTGGCCTCAGAATCAGCCCTTAGGGCATTCGGATCCAGCTGAAAAGCCCATGAGAGTATTTTAGGCATGGAAAGCCAAGACACTCTGGCAAAAAACAAACAAACAAACAAACAAACCACCTAAATGAAAGATCTCCGCGAGTGAGATCCCAGTGGAAAGAACAGGTCATCAAAGAAGGAGGTACCTTTCTCTGAAGGGAGAACTTCCACTTTGACTATGACCTTGGCTAAATATGATAAGAGTCGGTGAACTCAAAAAGCTTCCATAGCCTTGGTAACTCATGACTGGAGCCTAGGGAGATTACTGATGCCATAAACAAGAGTGTCAAATTGTTAAGTCAACAACAGGAGTCACTGTGACTTACTCCTCATGTAGGATCTCTGTCCTCAATGCACTGTACATTGTGATTTAATGCTATAACTAGTACTCAAACAGTATTTTTCACTTTGTGCTTCTATGTGGGTGCAAACTGTTGAAAACTTTACTTAATATATACTAAACTGATCTTCTGTATATATATATATATATATAAAAGATGGCAGCGGTGGAGAAAGACAGATTGGACCCCCTACACGCACAAGCTGACATCCCAAAGAACGGAAGTGACCTTCCTCAGGTGAGTCCGACCACCTTCCTCCTAAGCAGCCTTAACCCTAGGTTACATCAGCAGGACCAAGTCAGGCAGCTGCCCCGTGACCTTGGGTGAGAATAGACAGAGCTTTCATTCCCTGGTCCCCCACCAGCTTGGGGCACCTCATCTCAGCACTGTCTGCAAGGGCTGCTCTGAGAGGGACTTGAATTCTTGAATGTGTATGGCTTCCTACCATGCTGGGTAGACCTAACACCTGATACACTACCTGCACCCCCCCCCCCAATCTGAGGCTGAGCTTCATCATGGGGCTGAGAACTCTGCCAACCTCCATCTGTACACCTAGAATGTCCCAGGGAAATGTGGTGGGGAAACTGGGGAGCATCCACAGCAACTCTGATGCCAGACTCATGCCATTGGTGAGACTGACAAGGACTTGTATGCTCATGTGTGGAGCAGCCAGGCCCAGTTGGAGCAGAAACCACAGAGCTAGGACATACACACTTACACACAAACGCACACACAGGCTCACACATGCTCACTCCACAAGGGAGTGCAGTTCAGGCTCCGCTGCATTGGGAAGAGCAAAAGCCGCTGGAATGCAGCAGGAGCAAGCCCACAAAGCTGGACCAAACCCACCAGGTTCTCCACGCTGCTGCAGGGGTCAGAGGTGATCTGGAGGAACACGGCATTAGGGGAGGCTGAGTTGCTCCTGGGGACAGGGATCCCTAGCATTCCCTGGTGGTCTCCCCAGCACCCAGCTCTCCCAGGTGCTCCTGCCCTCCCCCACACTTGCCATGCCATTATTGTCAGTATCAGCTTCAGTGTTACCTACATATGTGTCACCTACCTGTGCTGAAATCACAGTGTTTCGTCTCTTAACCCCTCACCTGCACCCAGGGTAGAGGCCCAGTTCCTCCCAGACAGACTAGGTGAGGTCGACACAGGACACAAAGAAGGCCATGCTCAGCCATCTGCTCCCTTCTCTGTCATCCTGGGAAAACTCTCTGGTGACCAATGCTGACAGCACTACAGAGAACAGGACAGGAGCAGAGTGGGAGGACACAGAATGGATCAGCAGGGCTGAGACTTGTCCTTTGTCAGAAGTCTGTTGCCATGGGAATCCTGCTTACTTCAGGGGTGGGCACAGACTGAACTCAGGGAGCTGGATGAGGTGTGTGGGGGGAACTCACTGCACTAACTGAAATTCAAAATGCCAAGGCTTTGAAAGTTGTTACAAGGGGTAGCAATGGCATAGCAGATTAAACTACTGCTTGAGAAACGGGCATCCCATACTGGAGGGCTGGTTTGAATCCTGGCTGCTCCACTTCCAATTCAGCTCCCAGCTAATGTGACTGGGAAGGCGCAGAGGATGATCCAAGTTCTCGAGTCCCTGCCACCCATGGAAGAGTACAGCATGCCTGGCTGAGACCTAGCTGTCCCAGCCATTTGAGGAGTAAACCAGAGGTTAGAAAAATCTCTCTCCCTCTTTTTCTCTCTTGCTCTGATTTACAAGTAAAACAAATAATAATAACAACAACAACAACAACAACACATTGCTACAAAATAGAGGTGTATTGGAGGAAGAGGATAGCTTACAGGTAGAGCCCTGAAGAAGGTTGGGATTTAAAATCAAGCAGGTGACAGAGGGTGGTGGCAGAGCTAGGTCGTGGCACATTTGCCACAGTTCTTCCCTCTTTCGTGAGCCTTGGAAAGACCACAGCTGCCCCCTATAGGGGATTTTGTCTACTCTGAGGTTGAGGAGGCTGACACTCAGCCCTCCTGACCTGGGAGGGTACCACTGGGACAGGGATGCTAGAACTCCTCAGTGCTTCCATTACCCAGAGCCCCCTCTTTCTGTGTTCTGTGGCAGTTAGAGGACCACTGTGTCCAGTAACTGCCTGACCTGGGGATCATTTTTTAGACAGGAGGCATGTTTGGCAGAGCTGGGTGGATCCAGCTCTGTGTGTCCTGCTGACTTGGGGACATTTGCTTCCAGGTGGGTGGCCCTGGCCTCTCTGGGCTGCTGCTGAGGGTGATGCTGGCTGAGTCTTCAGTGGTGCCCATTGTGTGCTGACCATGGATATATGCATGCCGTTGCTTCCTCAGGGTGAACCTGGAGCGTGGGTGCCTATGTGCCCTGGGTGTGAACCTGTGTCAGGACATGGATGTCTGGGTAGGCAATATGGTGAGCACTGAATTCAGGTGTGGGGTGAGCCCATCTGTGAACCCACCAGGCATGTGGTTCCCAGGGAGTCTTCTGCACAGGTGCAGTGACGGTCATGGGAGGACAGCTGGATGGCCAAGGAGGATAAAGAGTGACCTTCCTAGGGAAGTGGGGTGGGGCTATTCATTGTCCCTACCCTCTGCACAGTTCACCATTCAGGGACCTGGGCATCAGGCACTGCCTGTGGGGCTGATCCCTCTGATCTGATGGACAGGAACTGTGGGGAGCAGTTCCCTGTGGTTCTTTGGGGTTGTGTCATGACGGGATTTTTGCCTTTCAGCTTCAAGGAGCTGTGAGCCCTGGAGGTCTGGCTGGCCCAGCAGGCAGCACACGTCATTGCTGAGTGTGAGCAGTTACAGAACTGGAGGCTGCAGATCGACGAGTTGGGATTCTGCCTCATGTGCTGCCCCCATAGCTGCAGGGTCATGCTCTTCCTCAGCACACAGATCACCAAAGGGCTGCCCTGGTTCCACCAGTCCCTGAGTGTCCATGGCCTCTCACCAGCACCCCCCTCCTTGGTTGCAGAGTCACCATGGAGGGGTCTGGGGAACAGAAGGAGTGAGCTGCTTGCTGGCCCCAGGGAGGCTGTGGATCCTGCAACGAATCTTCTGTCCTCATTTTGTCCCAGGAGTGGGGTCATTTTCAGATTCTCACAGGTGTTTACCTGTTCGAGAACTTGTCCCCAGCTGCCATCACAGTGCTCACCCTGGTCAGCATTAGGCCAGAGCTGAATCTTTTTTTTTTTTTTTGAGGGCCATCGTCCCTGTCTTTATTCACCAGGCCAGTTCCGAATATGAACAAGCAGAAAACTCATTACATAAGCATCTTAGTTATACCTTTCTGAAGTCTCTTGAAAATGATATTCACAATTCTGATGAGAGGCTTTTAATTGTTCTGAGGAAACTTTATTTTCTAAAACCTTTGATTCAGGAGTCGTTTTCTGACTTGTAGTCAGCAATTTCAGGCCCTCTGCATCCGCGTGTCCATCAGCTTTTCGAGGTTCTCTTCTGACATCCTCAGATGAAGATGTGCTGTCCCCAAAGCCCCAATAAGAGATGGGGACACTGCTTCTGCAGACACTGAGCCTTCGTGTCCTGCTGTCGACAAGCAGAAGGTTCAATCAGTATCCTGGGTGCCAGCACACAATTGTTCACCAACAGTCCTCAGTTTCAAATTTGCCTTTTAAGTCAGCAATATTTCCAACTTGGAGGACACAGGGCTGTTGTACCTGAGAACTGGCCAGGGAATGTAGGTCTTCCTCCTCACAGCAGGTTGGGGACCATCTGTCCTGTCAGCCTCACTGCTGCTGGTGCTGAGAGTGGAGGACACAGGGCTGTTGTGCCTGAAGCCTGGGAGTGTAGGTCCTCCTCCTTATGCCAGGATGAAGACTATCTGAACTGCAGGCCTCACTGCTGCTGGTGTTGAGACTGGACACAGAGGTCACGGGGCTCTTGTACCTGAGGACTGGCCAGGAAGTGTGGATCCTCATCAGACCAGGTGGGGAACTGTCCATCCTGTGGGCTCCAGGGCAGGCATTTAGCCCTGATGACTGGTCACCTTCAGGCAGCACTGGGGACACAGCACTGGCCTGAAGCTGGGCGTCAAGGACACTACTTTATGGATCAGCTGGAAGCCCAGCTCCACAGGTAGTTTTGAGCCTCAGCGTACTGAGCAGATCCTAGAAGCTCCCCTTGAGTGAGCTCAGTTCTTGCTGCTCCACTGAGGCCCTCCTGGGATTTCCCACAGCCCAGCACAGGGGACAAGCAGCCATCCTCTTCCTCACGGCCCAGCTGGAAGACAAGGACTGACAGGTATTGCTGACCTTCAATTTTGGAAGGACCTAGGAACCCCATGTCAATTTCGTTTCCCCTTGTGTGCTGTAAGTCTTTGGCTGGGATTTCCCACAGCTCAGAGCAGGGGACAAGCAGCCATCCTGCTCACAGCCCAGCTGGAAGACAAGGCCTGGCAGGTATTTCTCACTTTCAGGATCCCCATGTCAGTTTGATTTTCTACGTCTCTGCTGTAAGCCTTTGGCTGGTATTTTCCCCAGCATTGCATGGGGGCGGGGGGTGGAATGGGGCAGTCCTGTTCTTTAAGGCCCTCCAGAGACACCAGGTTCTCCACAGCTTCATCGATTTCCTGGTTCTCGGGAGAACTCAGAGACTGAAAAGTGTGATGTCACTTGCTTTGGGCCCTTTTTCTGCTCCATGCTGAGCCACTTGTGGCCCATAGCATCTGCCACTGTGGGCCTCTCAGCAGGGTCAAAAGTCATTAACCAATCCAGCATCTCTCCAGTTCCCCACTTACATAGGAGGGGATTAGGTTACGAGCCAGCCAGGATCGCTTCCTTCAAGTGCCCAAAGCTCTCCCCTTCAAAGGGCAGCCACCTGTTGCTATGGTGTACAGGACCAGGCCCAGGCTCCACATGTCAGCTTTATACCCATCAAACTCCTTATCTAGGAATTCTTCTGGGGTGTAATATTCAAGTGTCCCACACAAGGACTTTAGTTGTTGGCCTTCAGTCAGTTTTTGGCTAAAGCCAAAGTCAATTAGCTTAATAGGTCAGTCCAGAAGGAGATTTTCCAATTTTAAGTCTCTGTGAACAATGTGTTGCATGTGGTAGTACTCCACTGCTACTAATGTCTGAATGAAGTACCAACATGCTTCTCCTTCATGAAGGTGGCTGCACACCTCGACATACTTTTCAAGGTCCACCCCCACACCGCTAAAATACCCAATGAAAAGACAGGCTCTATCTGCTGTGTAGTCTACCTGTAACAGCTTTATAATGTTAGGGTGATGCAGAGAATGCATAATTTCTGCTGCTACCCAAGCTTGCGGGAACTTGGAAGAATCCCCGTCACCTCTGGCAGTGATCTCCACAGCCCCCTTGGTTCTGCTCTCCAGATGGAGGGCCAGCTTCACCTGCCCAAAACTGCCCTTGCCAATGATCCCGAGGACCTCATATCCACGGAACACCTCCTTCTCAGTGTGGGAGGATCTGACGCCTTTCGTCGTCAGGATATCTCTTGTGCCTAGTGTACTGGGACACTAGGAACACTAGCTAGTCACCTACAGTAGCTACGGTAACATGATAATCCAATGAGAAAGCAACAGATAAAGCCAATGCAGAGCAACAGATAAATGGTGCTGGGACAGTGGGAATCAGCATATTACAAATACCTGTTAAAGTTATGCAATTTTGTAACTCAGAATATTGAGTCACCATTAATAATTCTTTTTCCTCATAGTTATAATTTTATCAGCTTTATCCTTATGTCTGTGAATTTTGTAGAAAATTTTCTTTAGAATAACAATAAAAGCAGCAGTTCAAAAGACAAAAAAAATTACTTCATCCTGATGCCTAGCTTACTCTAGACTGGAATGGAAATGATGTAACATTTCAAGTAAGTTGAAGAGGGTATGTGGAAGTCACAGAATGTTATGAAAGAAATTTTGGACACAAAAGCTATTATTTTCCTAAGACATAGAATCTGAACCTCTGATAAAGCAGTTAAACTAGTCTATTATGTTCTCTTAATGTCTCTGTTAAATTCTAATTGTTTCAAAACAGATGAGTTTTTTATTAAGAGCTATGGGTTATTAAATATATGCTTATTCAAAAACATTTGAATACTAACCTTGTAACTCATCAAATTTGGTCTATATTATGTCACGATGTTAAGGGATCCTATTTAAACGAGATATTTTGGATTTTGAGCCTTCTTGGCATCCTTGACAGGCATTCAAAAAAACAAAATTTCAAAAATCTAGACTTTGACAATTTCCAGATGGGCCCCTGGAAACTGTCAAAGACACAGAGACACCAACTAATCAGGCTATTTGGATTATGTTAGAAGTACTGTCAAGATGTGAAGTGGTGTTACATTTTAAGTTTTTATAATATAAAATGCTACTGATACAAATGTCTGAAAGCTAAAAAGTCTAATGATCTTGTGTTACTAGATGTGATGATTATCTTAATGAGAAAGGTCCAGGGGCTAAAGGATTAAGTGTTTTGTAAAATCCTTCAGCTGCTTTTGAAACTACTGTGCGAAGTAAATAAGTGCCTCCTGTTGGTTAATGAGCTTATAATTTTCAACATGCCTATTTTAAGTCTTATCATCCACAGTTTTATATCTCAGATTTTCTGCTCATGAAACTGAAACATTTCCCCTCCTCTATGAAATCCTCTCATTACTGGGTTAATGCCACTCTTAAGATCATTGGTTGCTAGTCTCACCCTGTCTTTTATACTATTGTATTTACTTATTGATAATGGAACGAACCAGGGCCTTCAGCAACCAGCTGGTCAACCAAATGCTGCTACAGGGATAGACTTGGCTCCCCATCCGGGAGACAGCGGCTTGAGACATTGCCCCATCCCAGAGAAGAGTACCTCGTCGCCCATGTCAGCAGGAAGTAGCTTAAGACAGATCATCGTCCCTCTACCCCTCCTGGACTTTTGGGGCTAATGTAATCCCATAAAACTCCTGCTTCATAAAAACCAAACGGGGGGAATGTTAGTAAAATGATGCAGTCTTATCTACTGTGCGATCTACACCCTGACACCATCCTATGCCCCAACCCCGCCGCCATGGCAGGAAGCCAGGTGGCCACATGGTCCAAACATCAATGTCAGCCCCACCCACATCCTAATGGGATTCGAGGCTTCTACTTCCCTGCCCACCCCCTGGCAACGTGTTAAAGGGAGCTATTCCTGAGCATGCAGCTCTCTCTTCCTCTCCATCTCCTGATCTCTGTCTCTCTCTTACACTTTCTTTCTGCCTTTTTCCTTCTCTGTCCCTTCTCTCCAGTCTGTTGGGTTTCTCCCCATAAACTCCCTTAAAAAAAGAAAACAGGTGGAAGCAGAGAAAGGATTTTGCTAGTTTTACAGTATCAGAGAACAATACCATATTAACTTTCCAATGTGCTGTCTTTGCTAATGGTATTTCATACAGTGAAGCAACAAATCTGCAGCAAAATAAAATTTTCAACTTCTTAAAAAATAAATAAATGGGGGCCGGCATTGTGGGATAACAAGTTGAGCTGCTGCCTAGAATGATGGCATCCCGTATGGTCACTGGTTAGAGTCCAAGCTGCTCCATTTCCGGAAATCAGTTGAAGATGGAACAAGTACTTGTGCCCCAGCACTCTCATGGGAGACCTGGTAGTAGCTCCTGGCTCCTGTCTCCGGTCTGGCCCAGCTCTGGCCATTGCATCCATTTGGGGAGTGAACCAGCAGATGGAAGGTCTCTGTCTCTTCCTCTAACTCTGCCTTTCAAAAGGATAAAATAAATCTTTTAAAATAATAGTTATGGATAAACTGGATTTCTATAAGCAAAAGAATGGAATTGGATCATTCTACCATACACAACAACAACTCAAAATGACTAACTCTAGGAATAGAAATTGTAAAACTCCTAGGAGACAATGTAGGAGGAAAACTCCAAAATCCCAGGCCACAAAAGCAAAACTTTTTGAATGGGACTAAATAGAACTACAAATCTTAATGATGTTTCATTTATCCTGTAGTTTTTATAAGGCGCACAACTTCTGAGAATTAATCTGTGTAACTAGATCATCACTGGTGCTTATCTACTCCTTCCAAAATTCTCTTCCAAAATCATCAGTACCTTTTAAGATTCAACAATTATCGTAATTTATGTGTAGAAGTCTCAACCTTGTTTCTCCTACAAATATCACTTCCAACACATCTGGTGTTAGTAAAATGTATGTAATACTATGAAACAGACCATCTATTTGTTATCAATTTCATTCCTTATTAGACTAAGCAAGAAAATAAGAAAGCTTTGACCAAAATTGCAGAAGGTGGTTTTATTCTGATGGCTCTCATTCATGCAGATCAGCTTCTCCATAAAGTCATCCTAATAAATGTCTCATTATTGTGTACCCTTGACCTGCTTAAGTGTCTTTGCAGATCGACTTGCTGTATTTTCCAAACATAAAATACAAATAAGATTTTTTGGTTACAAATTTTTGAGTGTGAGTGTGTGAGTGAGTGTGTGTGTGTGTAAAGAGCATCTAACAAATATGATACATTTAACTTACAAAAGGAATTACTGGGGCCAGTGCAGTAGTGTAATGGGCTAAGCCAGCACCTGCAGCACCCACGTCCCATATGGGCAGCAGTTCGACCTGGCTGCATCTCTTCCAATCCAGCTCTCTGCTATGCCCAGGAAAACCCATGAAAGTTGGCCCAAGTGCTTAGGCCCCTGCACCCATGTGGGAGACCCCAAGGAGGCTCTTGGCTCCTGGTTTCCAATCAGCTCAGCTCTGGCTGTAGCAGCCATTTGGGGAGCGACCCAGAAGATGGAAGACTTTTCTCTCAGTCTCTTCTTCTGTTACTGTACCTCTCAAATAAACACCAATCTTGAAAAGGAAATTATTTACATATTTGAAGTTGAAAATTTGCACGTTTGCATTTTTATCTATATACTTTTTCTCCATTCTACTATAGGATAAATACAATCTGCATGAATTAAATTGAAGTAACTAAACTTGTAGGAAAGAAAAATATGCAAAAATCCTAATGCATGTTTTACTATTAAAACATTAAAATCATAGTTGCATAATATAGTAAAAATAGCTGTAATATAGTAAGGATAAGTTTTTTCATGGATAGTTTTATTTTTTATTTCTCAAAATACTTTTTTTTCAAAGCACTTTTCAATAAAATTATTGGGCAAAAGTAAAACATAGCTCAAAATGTTAATTTTTTAATCTTTATTTAAAGTCAAGAGTTACACAGAGAGAGAAGCAGAGGCAGAGAGAGAGAGAGAGGGTATTCCATCTGCTGGATCACTTCCCAGTTGGCCACAACAGCTGGAGCTGCGCCGATTCAAAGCCAGGAGCCAGGAGACTCCTCCAGGTCTTCCACGTGGGTACAAGGGCCCAAGGACTTGGGCCATCTTCTACTGCTTTTACAGGCCATAGCAGGGAGCTGGATCGAAGTGGAGCAGCCAGGACTTGAACCAGCACTCTCATGAGATGCTAGCATTCCACGAAACAGCTTTACCCATTACACCACAGCGCTGGAACCCCTCAAATTTTAGTTATCTAAACACAAAAGCTCTCACCATAAAGAACAAAAGAACTGCTGGGGTGGATTTTTAGGTGAATGTCTGGGATTGTACTGATGAGAAAAGTCAATGAAGACTTCCTCCAATGATAAGAAACCATTAACACATAAAGAAATAGAATGTTCATCTCAGTAACTCCTCAGATGTTTGTTTCTGAGAAAGAAAAGGAGTTCTTGCAAAGATAACCAAACACTCTGGAAAAGAAGACAACAGATACACCTGTCAACTTCTTTATGCAATTGTCCTTGTGAAAAGAGGGATTTCCCTTACCTGAAGAAAGACATGATGTTACCAGGTAAGCATAACATTAAAAATTCAACTGTGTGGCGCTGGTGCTGTGATGCAGTGAGTTAAGTCACCATCTGGAATGCCAGCATCCCAACTGCGTGGCAGTTCAAGTCCCGGCTGCTCCACTTCTGATCTGGCTCACTGCTAATGCATCTAGGAGGGCGATGGAAGTGGCCACAAGTTCTTGGGCCCCTGCACCCATGTGGGACACCCACATGAAGTTCCTGGCTTCTGGCTTCAGCCTGGCCCATCCCTGGCCATTGCAGCCATTTGGGGAGTGAACCAGCTGATAGAAAGCTTCTCTTTCTGCTTCTCCCTCTCTGTAACTCCACCTTTCAGATAAGTAGATAAATCTTCTGAAGCATTCAACTGTGTGCCGTTCACTATAAATACACTACTAATCAGGAAATTGAAGGAGCTCTGAATTTATCAAGAAATATAATGCCAACTTGGTGTCACCTGAGATTAGCTACAAAGATTATTTCCCTCGTTTGAACAAACAAAAGTCATGCCTTTTATGATAAACAGACTCTAAACTTAGAACATTCCATCCTTTAAATTGCACAAAGTTGAAAATAGGTATTTTTTTTTTAAATGAGCACACAAAACAATCTGATGACGTGAGGGTTCATTCACGTGTATATTGACTCATAAAAAAAATCTCTGCTTCTAAACTTTTTAGAAGAAATCATTTTAGGCTTGAAGAATTGCACAAACAGTACAACCAAACTAAGACTTAGTAACATTTCCAGAGCCTCTCAGCCTAGACAGTGGTTGAAATAAGAATGCTTGAACTCACTACCTATGCTTTTTCAATCCCAGAAACTTGAAGCCATTTCCCAAGGTCACAGAAAGACAGCATGTAATAAACCAAATATGCAAACCTGATGACACTTTACTGATTCTGGCCAGCAGTCCTATCAGAGAGGATTCGAATATATAAGAACATGCAGAAAGCTACTGCTTATTGTGTAGAAACAACCAAGGAAAGCATGATTCCTTTCCAGCAAAATTTTGGAATACATTTTTAGTTCCTTTTGTCAGGATGCTTGTTCTCATGGCTTTAGAAAAATCTTGATGAAATTTATAGGAGACCCTATTCATTTGATTTAAATTTCCAATTACTGATGAAGTTTCAATGGTTCAGTATGCAATGTATGGAAAAAATTATTGAATGAATACAAAACTAGACCATGCAACTTATTCTTATCCATACAGAAGGAATTTAACATTGTTATATCTGTGCAGAAAGATTTATTGTCATTGGAAATAGTGGTGTTTTTTTTGAATATTTATTTAATTGAGAGACAGAGTTAAAGACAAAGAGTGGGAATGACAGAGAGAAAGCTTTTCTATCCACTGCTTCACTCCCCAAGTGGCCACATGAGTGCAGGGGCCCAAGCACTTGGGCCACCTTCTACTGCTTTTTCAAGTGATAGCAGGGAGCTGGATCAGAAAAGGAGCAGCTGGGACATGAACTGGTGCCCATATGGGATGCCAGTGCTGCAGGTGGAGGCCTACCCTACCACACCACAGTGCCAGACCTGCAATTAGGTTTTGAAGATTTTCCTTAGTACAGTCTGTCATTCTGTGACCTTGGGAAAATGTTTGGGACTTTTTGGGATTGAAAAGGCATGGGTAGTGAGTTCGAGTTTTCTTATTTCAAACACTTTCTAGGCTGTGAAGGCTCTGGAAACATGATGAATGCAACAATACTTCCAAAAGGTATCACAGATACACATATGTAGGTTATATGTACACATATATATATCTACAACATGTAATATGATGAAGTGGGTTTTATCACAGGCATGCAAGTGTGGTTCAACATCTATAAAAATCAATGAAATCACATCAGCAGAATGAACAACATAAAACACATGCACATCTCAATAGATGCAGTGGATGCTTCCATCAGAAGATTCAACATCCCTTCATGATAAAAAAAATTGAAACTAACAAGGTACAGAGGAAACATAGCTTAAAATTATCAAAGCTATATGATAAAACAATAGATAATACCATACTGAATGGGAAAAACCTGAAAACATTTCTCCTGAGTGTTGAACAAGAAAAGAACTCCACATAAACCATTCTTAGTCAATATAGTATCTCAAGTACTCACAAGAGTACTGAGGCAAAGTAAAGAATTAAAGGATGAAAACTGGGAAGGAGGAAGTCAAAATATCTTTTTCCAGAAGACATGATTTTAGACAGAAAAACTTAAAACACTGCAGTAAAAATGTTGGGAGTGATAAACCAGTAAGTCGCAGGATACAAAATCAATGTACAAAACAATTACACACTAATAATGATCCTCTGTAAAGTTAAGTTTAAGATCTTTGTAAAAAATAAGAATGGGGATAGTAGAGGGAAGAGGAAAAAGGGTGGGAATACGAGCAGGATGGAGAGTACAGTGGAAAGTATCATCACCTTCCTGAATCTGTATATGAAATACATGAAGTCTGCATATCAAGCCAAGACACTCTGGCAAAAAGATCTCTGTGAGTGAGATCCCAGTGGAAAGAACAGGTCTTCAAAGAGGGAGGTGCCTTTCTCTGAAGGGAGGAGAGAACCTCCACTTTGACTATGACCGTGTCTAAACAAGATAAGAGTCGGAGAACTCAAGGGGCTTCCATAGCCTTGGAAACTCATAACTGGTGCATAGGGAGATTACTGATGCCATAAACAGGAGTGTCAATTGGTAAAGTCAACAACAGGAGTCACTGTGCACTTACTCCTCATGTAGGATCTCGGTCCTTAACGTGCTGTGCATTGAGATTTAATGCTATAACGAGTACTCAAACAATATATTTCACTTTGTGTTTCTATGGGGGTGCAAACTGTTGAAATCTTTACTTAATGTATACTAAACTGATCTTCTGTTAAAAAAAAAAAAAAAAAAAGAAATTTTCAATTCCCAACTTGACTCTCACTGGGATTAAACATGACAATAGGTCTGATCTGATTTCATCATCATTTAAAAAAAAATCATCTATTATTTTTCACTTTATGTTTCTGTGTGGGAGCAAACTGTTGAAATACTTACTTAAGGTATACTAAGCTGATCTTCTGTATATTAAGATAATCGAAAATGAATCTTGATGTGAATGGAAGGGGAGAGGGAGTGGGAAAGGGGAGGGTTGTTGGTGGGAGGGACGGTATGGGGGGGGAAGCCATTGTAACCCAGGTGTCGTACTTTGGAAATTTATATTCATTAAATAAAAGATAAAAAAAAAAAAATAAAGTGGCCAGTGCCGCGGCTCAATAGGCTAATCCTCTGCCTGCGGCACTGGCACACAGGGTTCTAGTTCCGGTCAGGGCACCGGATTCTGTCTCGGTTGCTCCTCTTCCTGTCCAGCTCTCTGCTATGGCCCAGGAATGCAGTGGAGGATGGCCCAAGTCCTTGGGCCCTGCACCCTCAGGGGAGACTCTTAGGAGAAGCACCAGGCTCCTTGCTTTGGATCAGTGCGGTGAGCTGTCTGCAGTGCGCTGGCCGCAACAGCCACTGGGGGGTGAACCAACGGAAAAAGGAAGACCTTTCTCTCTCTCTTTCTCTGTCCACTCTGCCTGTCAAAAAGAAAGTAAATAAATAAAATAAAATAAAAAAGTATGAAACGGGAAAAAAGCCTAAATTTACAATAGCTACAAAAATTATTTAGTAATAAATTTAACCAAATAAGTGAAAGATCACAATAAAGGTATAAAGTGCTGATGAAATAAATCATCAAAGACACATGGAAATGGAAAGACATCCTCTGTTCATGAATTAGAAGCCTGTTTCTTTCATATTTACTCTCGTAACAGACCCTCTCATAAGTCAAGATCATGTACTCTTAGGATTCTCAGTTACTTCCCTGTGGTCCTCTCTTTGTCAAAGTTCTTGGTCCTCATTTTCCTTATTTATCAGATGTCATGCTAAATTTAGCACCTTAACAATGAAAAGTTTATGAAACATTACAGGAAGGGGAAGTTGGACAGTTACATGTAGCTTTCAAATTTGGGGAAAGTGAAAAACTTTAGATGGTTTTAGTAGAACCATCCTGATGGAGAAGAGTGTGTCAAATGAGTTAATTCAAAAACAGGATTAGAACCCTGGTACTTGTTAGGTGTATAAGACATCTGAGTTGTTTAATGGACATGAACCAAGAGGAAATGAAAAAGGGGAGCGGAAATGAGGGTGAAAATGAAAATGAAAGGATCAGTACTTATATATGTATATTGAAACAACAGAAAAAGCCTGACGATGACTGGAATAGTGTAATATGGGGGAAAGTGTGAAGAAAAATAGGTTTTTAAGTGACTTAAAATACAAAACTTAAATAAGCTTTATTTATATTTTTAGAGTTTTCTTTAAGAATGGAGGATTTAGATACACTTTCCTGAATAATGGTCCCCACAGCTCATTTTTTTTTGAGCTCCACATTTGCCACTGTGTGATTTAGATGATTGAATCCCATACAAGGTGGGTGCTGTTGTCTCTATTTTACAGAAGAATGGCTCAGAGAAATTCAGAAACTTGCCTAGTTTAAAGCAGCTGTGACAGGGCTGGGTTTAACCAGATATGATGCTGAAGCCCGTGCTCTTTGTAGATGGCTGTAGCCTCATTGAACAATTGTTCATAGAATTTCAGCTCCTTAAAGGAGCCTCTCTATGGGGATTTGTATTTCCCCTATGGAACAGCTATGTAAGTAATTCTATGTCCTCTTCCCCCTACCACCAACACCCTTACAACTAGGACCAGCACCCATATGGGATGCTGGCTTCACAGGTGGTGGCTTACCCCACCCACAACAGCAGCCCCAGGATGGGGGACTTTCTATAAGGTGAAGACAGCTTAAGAAGGCCATTCCTCATGAGGAACCTTAAGAAGGCACCGTATTTTTCTGGAAGCAGCATCCGGGTATTGGACAAAATTGTGCAACATTTCAACACCTACACCTGGGCTGAATGGCCCACACTAGGCCACCAGCCTTTCATTTCCTTATCAGTGTTTTTTTTCTTTAAGAAGGTACCATCTTAGAAGCAGAGAGTGCACCCTTCCCAGATTGTAAATCTCTTGGGCCTTGATCTAGACTTCCAAACTTCCAAAACATTGAAAAATGAATTCCTGTTCTTTTTCAGTCACCCAGGTCAGGGTCTTGTTACGGTAACCCAAAGGACTGGAATATCCTGGAATGTCTTCTCTTCCTCCTTATGATTTGAAGCAGTTTTGGAGGCTATAGATTTCAGTTTGCTCTCACTTTGCTGTTTGCACTGGACTACATCAGCCCCCTACTGTGCAGCTTTCCAGGGTTACTGAGGAGCAATCTGATGATGAACTTCAGGGTAAACGATGAAAGAAACCTCCCTCTCAGCTCTATGGATATGAACCATGCACCTGATGGTGACTTGGCAAACATAATATTTTGTTGTATTGTCATTATGCCAGTGAAGTGGTACCAACGTGTTGAGACCTATCATGTTGGATATTCTGAGTGTAGGCTTGAGGAGTCCTACCAAAGCCAAGAGTTATTTACAAAGTTTAAAACTAGAAATGAAAAGTCCATTGAAACAGCCTTCAGGTGTTAATTTATCAAAACCTAAATATCAATTGCTATCACCAACTTAAGCAAAAAAATTTTGGGGTCCTTTCACTTTAACCAAGGTAGAAAGTTTCTTGAGAAAACCACCATGGTGTATCCCCAGCTGTGATTGGTCTGTATCTTGCTCTGACATAAGGGGAGCCATTGTTATGTCATTCTGACTGCCTTAACAGTTCCCTGGCTTGGCCTCAGTTCTTGTTCAGTTGGCCCAGGAAGCTCTGTGGAGGCAGCCTGAAGGACTTGGATGACATTACTGGTTTTCTCATCTTGTCGTTTGTATCGCTGTTTTGTCTGTCTGATCTCTTTGTTCTTTTTACTACATTGGTTCTTTTCTTTTTTTTCTACTTGTTTTATTATTTTTCTATTTTCTCAATTTCTCTCCGCTGCCTATTTCTACTTTGTATACTTGTGTATTTATTTTTCTTAAATGTTTTTTATTTTCTTTTTGTTTTTATTGTTACTGGCTAAATGTATTTTATGCTGTTTTCATCTAGCATTCTTGCTGTGTCTCCCCCATGTTTTTGATTTTTTTCTCATTTTTCATCCTTTGATTTAGATAAGATCATTTTAAGACTTACTGATTAGAATTGTTACCATAGTTAAGATATTTGTTGTTTCACTTTACCATTTTTTGCATTCTGTGTGTTTTCTAACTTTTAATTCTTAATTTGGATACAATTGGTTTTAGTGATTAGTATACTGTAGTTCATATCATTAGCATTATCTGTTAGAAATATTAGCATACTGTGTCTTCTTGATTTTTCTTTCACAGTTTTTGTTGTTAACTTGGGTGACTAGTAAGTGTTCCTAGTGTCAGATTGCAGGGGTGGGGGTGTTGTGCCCAGATAGTTAGATCCCCGCAGAGACCCCCATAGAGTCGATCACACTGAACTGCACAAGCAAGGTTTATTCAGGAGTACAAGCCGCGACAGGGATGCCATCCATCCAACCCACACAGTGGAGGAAGGAGTGAGGCCCCGGTCTTTGTTTGGGAGAGTTTTTAAAGAAAAAAAGGGCTACATCAGCAGGAAAAAAGAGTTACATACAGCATGGAAGCTTTGGGCACAGGGAGTTACAGCGGGGGCTTACAGCACAGGAGCTTTGGGTACAGGGAGTTACTTTGTTTAGCAATCTCTACTGTGCTGTCCTTGGTCTACGGAGCTAGCTGTCCCTGGTAAGCTTTGATATCTCCAGAATGCCTGAATGTCTGCTTTTACAAAGACTCTTGTCTGCTATGGGAAAAGGAGGCTGCTTTTTTATTGTTTTAAAATGGAGTCACTTTGGCTCTTCATCCCTCCTTGTTTTTGTACATGTTTGAAAAACCCAATTGGCTGGCGCCGCGGCTCACTAGGCTAATCCGCCTTGCGGCGCCGGCACCCCGGGTTCTAGCCCCAGTTGGGGCGCTGGATTCTGTCCCGGTTGCCCATCTTCCAGGCCAGCTCTCTGCTGTGGCCAGGGAGTGCAGTGGAGGATGGCCCAAGTACTTGGGCCCTGCACCCATGGGAGACCAGGAGAAGTACCTGGCTCCTGCCATCGGATCAGCGCGGTGCGCCGGCCGCAGTGCGCTGACCGTGGCGGCCATTGGAGGGTGAACCAACGGCAAGGGAAGACCTTTCTGTCTCTCTCTCTCACTGTCCACTCTGCCTGTCAAAAAATAAAAAAAAAAAAAAAAGAAAAACCCAATCATGGGTTTGGACTGACATTTTATTGGTTTTACAAACGTTTAAGGCTTTATATTGGGACCGTTGGACCATTAATTCAACGGTGCCCAATCTCTGTTTCATAAACTGTACAAGTTTGTGAACAATGCAAGGGCCAAAGGTTAAAATTAAAATCAGGAGAACAAGGGGCCCTATGAGTCCTGATAGTAGGGTGGCTTGCCACGGAGAAGAACTGAACCAAGACTCAAACCACCCCTGAGAGGCCTCCCATTCTTTTTCATTTTGCCAGCCCCTCCCTGACCTTAGCCAGCCATGTTATCTTTTATTAGGCCCGAGTGATCTGCGGAAAAGCAGTGGCGCACAGCCCACCACATCAGTCCCAGAAGTCCAAGAGGTGCAGAGGGATGACGATCCATCCTCAGAGCCACCTCTGCTGACGTGGAGAAAAGAGGCACTCTTCGCTGCCATGGGACAATGTTTTAAGCCACTGTTTCCTGGGTGGGGAGCTGAGCACATTCCTGTAGTAGCACTTGGTTGATCGCCTGGTTGCAGAAGGCCTTGGTTTGCTCCATCACCAGCTGTAAATACTTAAACAGACACTGTAGTATAGAGACAGGGTGAGAATAAAGCAGATTCCAGGCAAAACCGGGAGAAAAGCCACTCAGTGTGGGAGAGGGTTATCAGTACACACATGTTGGGAGTATAAACGGCAATCTACTACATAGAACAAAGAATTTACAGAAATCCTCAGCGTTTGATTTCTGCTCTACTTTTATACACAGAATAATGACTAGTTATTTGCAGCATGTCTTTAACTTTTTAACTTTGTGCATTTATTTTCCTGAACAAGGCGCAGCTGCTGTTGCTATGTGTAACTGAGACAGTAGTTGATATTTAATAGGAAACACTGCTCACATAACTATACTCCCTACTAGCCAAATTTACCTAATAATGAATTATCTTGATAATGGAGAGTAGAAACCATATGCACTAATTACACAGATGTTAAAGTCACAGTTTTAAACAAGGTAATTTACACTGTGAAGTACACTACTTACGGTAATACTGTTTAAAAGATACTACTGCTGCCCCCAAAGGATATGTACAGAATGTATATAAAACACTGACTTTAATAAGCAACAAAATTACAAAGGAATGAGGCCAAGGAGTGGGCCAGACAGGGTCCAGAACAAAGGACAGAGTTGCTATTACAGGAGTCAAGAAAAGTGTTGTCCAAGTTACAAATAAGTTTTCTGACTGAGAGGCAAAGAGGATCTGATAAAAGGGGCTAGATAATAACCTGGTGGCTTTAGGCCTTGTAAGTTAAGGGACCTAGACTGTGGTGGAATGAGAAGGCCATGCCAAGGTGGCCACTGGTAAGCGAGCATCAGTTACTCAGGGATGGCTTTGGAAACTGCCTGGCAGCAGGCTGTGATTGGTTGGGGCACAGACCGCCCCTTGACGAGATTGGCTGGTCTTGGCTATATAACATATTGTACCAACTGAAATAAACGAGTCTGCTGGCTGCTCCCCTCAAGCCTGCTTTCACCTGACTCCCGGGGTCTGTGTGGTGACTCCGCGCCTCTTGCCCCCACCACACTGCTCCTCTCAGAAACGAATCCACTGCAACATTGCTGAGAAATCAACAGCAACATCTGGCACGCCAACTTGACTGAGAGAAAGACAGCATGTCGGACTCGGCAAGGTCCCCCCTGGATTTCGGCAAGTAGGCCCCTCGGTGTTTTGTGTGCTGTTCGGTTCTGTGAGGGTGAGCACAGAACCCCCTCCTACGCCCCTTTCCTTGTCCTTGTCCTCGGTCTAAGTGACCCCAGGTTAGGCACACTCCACCCAGAAGCGTACGTCGCTTCTCGGCTCCTCCTTTTACTTTCGGTTCTGTTCTACCCAGATACTTCCTGTTTTTTCCCAGTCATGGGGATTGGGCTTGGCTTTTGTATGAGGTGAGCAGTGGCCCCTAGAATTGGGGGTGAATCTTACTTGTAGGTTCTCCATTAAAGCTGCTGACTTGTAGAGATTTGTGATCCGTAGTGAGGACCGCTTGTATTTGTGAGAGTACATCTCTCCCCCATAAGGTCATGAAAACTTCAGCAATTAGTGGGAAGATGGTTCCTGTATCTCCATTGTCATCTAAATATAGAGTCAATTTCAGCCTCAGATTGAAGATGGGCATCGACCAGTTAATGGTAGTGGGACTCCCTCTTACTTGCTGGGCTGAAGGCCGCCCCACTGGGAGTTTAAAGGTTTGGTCTTGCCATCTTTTGCCCAATGAAAGCCGTTTTTACATAGTTAGGTCATTTATGGCTGTTGGAGTCCAGGGTCTGAATTTTGTGTCTGCTCCTACATTAACAGCAAATGTGCGGGTGGGATGGGGTCTAGAAGCTGCCCTAAGAGCGTGGGGTGTCCGAGTACTGCCACAAATGTGGGGATCCTCACTGGCTGCAGATGGGATGACCTTGCATGAGTTACTGTCTAGAGGCCCTTTAAGTTCATCCCACAGGTATGTGGGGGGTGGCTGACTAGGCGTTGCTACATTCTTTGCTACCTTATTTTCACAGTTGGAGCTCTCTCTCCCTAAGTCATCAACTGTTGTCTGTGAGGCAGAGGCCTGGAGTGTAAGGCTCTTACCACTCACAAATTCACTATGTCTTATAATCTGCGCAGGATTCTGAGAGGGGGGGTATCTTTCCCATGTCTGAGCACTTAAGAGCCCCATGGCATGCCAACTCTAGCCAAAGGAAAGACACGTACAGCACTGCTGCCATAACAAAGCAAATTCCTAGCACCTCAGCTGTTGATGGCATTTTGCAGGAGGTTTCCCTACGTTAGACAAACAGATAGTGGTGTATCAAATCGTAAGTATGTCCTGTGCCTAGTGGGGGACTTCCTTGATTCATTAGGTCAAGGCCATATGGCCACACGGTGTCTCCGGAGCGTCACCTCTCTTGAGTGAGGGAAGATGACTTCGTTCTGAAGCATCCTTAAAGACTGGTACAGGAACAATTGGAAAAGGGACACACAGAACCCTCCACTAGCCCTCATAACACGCCCATTTTTGTGATACCAAAGAAAACAGGGAAAATATAGGCTTCTACAGGATTTCAGAAGCTATTAACAAAAATATAAAAAAGATGGGAACATTCCAGGCTGACATTCCCCATCCAGGGGCCATTCCTAATGGATATCACATAGTTACCATTGATATCAAAGATTGCTTCTTTTCCATTCCCATTAGAGCAGGATAAGGCTTACTTTGCCTTTACAGTATGGGAGCCCAATTTCCAGCTCCCTGCAAAAAGATTCCAGTGGACAGTACTCCCACAAGGCATGAAAAATAGCCCTGCCATTTGCCAAAGATACGTTTCTCATGCAACCAGCACACTTAAAGATCAGTGCTTGGTCATACATTATGTGGATGATATCTTACTTGCTCACAAGAATGCAGCAATTCTGAATGCCTGTCTAAGTGAGACAGTAAGAAATTTACAATTCCTGGGTTTGTCTATTGCCACAGAAAAAGTACAACATTTTCCTCCCTTTCAATTCTTGGGTTATCAAATCTCCTCCCATATATCTCCAATGGGCCCAAACCTAAAAGTCAAGCATAAATACTCACTTAATGAACTTCAGCAACTATGTGGCCAAATCAATTGGCTGAAGCCCTTCCTTCCCCTAGACACCTGCAGAACTTTTTATTTTTTATTTTTTTTTATTTTTTTTTTTTTTATTTTTGATAGGCAGAGTGGACAGTGAGAGAGACAGAGAGAGAAAGGTCTTCCTTTGCCGTTGGTTCACCCTCCAATGGCCACCGCTGCAGCCGGCGCACCGCGCTGATCCGATGGCAGGAGCCAGGAGCCAGGTGCTTTTCCTGGTCTCCCATGGGGTGCAGGGCCCAAGCACCTGGGCCATCCTCCACTGCACTCCCTGGCCATAGCAGAGAGCTGGCCTGGAAGAGGGGCAACCGGGACAGAATCCGGCGCCCCAACCGGGACTAGAACCCGGTGTGCCGGCGCCGCAAGGTGGAGGATTAGCCTATTGAGCCACGGCGCCGGCCAACACCTGCAGAACTTAGACCGCTACACGATTTACTAAGGGAAACAGCCCTTCCTCAAAAATCACATTGACACCTGCAGCCAAATCCACTATAGAAAAGATTAACACCCAGTTGTCAAATTTAAAAACCTTTAGATATGACCCTCAGGTGCCTCTATTTGCCATAACGATAGCTACCCTCAAGGCCCCCTTAGGAGTTATTTGGCAACAACACGGACCACTTTTTTGGGTGCACATAGCCTGGAGCGATTGTCCTAAAATAGCAAACAAAGTAGATGCCATCCTTATGATGGGACTTAAATTAAGATATTATACCAGTAAGATATTTAACACAGAGCCAGACATAGTGGTCCAACCACTATCACAATTAGAACTGTCGACATTGATGCAGAATAGCACGCTCTTTCAAACTTTAATGATAAATTTTCCAGGACAGATTGACAATCACCTGCCAGCAGACAGGCTACTCCAGACACTACAAACCTTAGAAATAGACTATCCAAAACATGCTTTCCCTGCTAATCAACCTATACCCATGGCACCATGTGCGTTTATGGATGCCAACAAGTCACTCTTTGGAATAGTGATTAACAGAAAAAGATAAGATCCATGCAGAACCCCATGGGGGATCAGTACAGTTGGGAGAAATAAAAGCAATAGTCAAGGTTCTACTCCTTAGCCAAGATGGACCGGTAAATATATTTTCGGACAGCAAATACTCAGTACAGGTAGCAAAGACGATCCCTTTTGCAGTCTTTAACCCGATCAGTAAGCCAATTGACCAGATGGTCACAACACTTAAAGAGCTAATTGAGAACAGAAAATACCCATGGTATATCTCACACGTAAGATCACATACTGGGTTACCTGGCTTTATTTTCCAAGGCAACAGAAAGGTTGATCGTCTTATCTCCTGCAACACGGCTTCCATTGGACACTTAGAACAAGCCCGTATTTTACACCAAAAATTTCATATGTCAGCAAGCAACATAAAATTGCTTTTCCCAGAGCTAACAATGAGCCAATGCAAACACCTAGTGCACTCTTGCAAGAATTGTGCACCCCTCGCCCCATTAGGCCCACTGCAACAAGCAGGAGTGAACCCGTGAGGCCTTGCTCCTAATAAACTATGGCAAGTGGACGTCACCCACATTAATTCCTTTGGTAAACTTAAGTTTGTCCATGTGGTGGTAGATACTTATTCAAAGGCTGTATTTGCAACAGCCCAATCTGGAGAAAAGGCTAGTAATGTGATAAAGGTGGTGAAATCAGCCATGCTGGTCCTTGGTGTCCCCTGGACCATAAAGACTGATAACGGGCCAGCATATACATCACAGGAATTTAATTCCTTCCTGAAATCTTGGAACATACAGTCTGCCACAGGTATCCCATACAACCCACAGGGACAGGCAATTACTGAAAGAACTCATAGGACAATTAAAGATCTCTTACAAAGACAAAAAATAATCATATGCCCTCAGACCCACAGCTTGCTTTGACTGAGGTCCTTTTCACTATCAATTTTCTTACTTTTGATTCCCCAGGGATCAGCCCAGCTTATAAACATTGGGGATCCTTTCCATTCCAGACCCCAGCCCCTATGGTTAGGAGGAAAGACACCCTGACAGGAGAATGGAAAGGACCACACCCTCTGCTAACCAAAGGTCGAGGATATGCTTGTGTCTTTCCAGAGAATGCAGAACAGCACATTTGGGTACCAGCCAGAAACATCAAGCCTGCAACTGACAGCCAACAAGAACCAGCTGAACAAGACTGAGAACCCACCTTGTTAGCAGACACACCTGCCCTATCATCCTACCCTGAGAAACTGCCCATAGCCACATCTGTTACTGTTTTGTACCCCACTAGCTTTGGTCAGCCACTCAAATGGCCCACAGCCTGTGTGCGGTCATGCCATTCCTGATAACCATTATTCCTCATTCCTACCCCTATCTGAGCAAGCAATCCTGTGATCTCTCGATTTGAGCACTGGTTAGTCAATGACGGGTAAGATCCCCTGGGGGACAACCTAAGACAGGCACAACTGCGTAAGGAGACCACATGGAAATGGGGTCAACAATGGTAGGACCAAGAGTCATGCATCCCATTGCTCAAAAATAAACAAAAAGGGGGAAATGTGGTGGAATGAGAAGGCCATGCCAAGGTGGCCACTGGCAAGCGAGCGTCAGTTACTCAGGGATGGCTTTGGAAACTGCCTGGCAACAGGCTGTGATTGGATGGCTTTGGAAACTGCCTGGCAACAGGCTGTGATTGGATGGATTTGAAACTGCCTGGCAACAGGCTGTGATTGGATGGCTTTGGAAACTGCCTGGCAACAGGCTGTGATTGGTTGGGGCATAGACCGCCCCTTGACCAGACTGGCTGGTCTTGGCTATGTAAGATGTTGTACCAACTGAAATAAACGAGTCTGCCGGCTGCTCGCCTCAAGCCTGCTTTCACCGGACTCCCGGGGTCTGCGTGGTAACTCCACGCCTCTTGCCCCCACCACCCTGCTCCTCTCAGAAACGAATCCACTGCAACATTGTTGAGAAATCAATGGCAACACTAGACCTATCCATCTTTTTACATAGGGTACATTTTAAGGGAGGTGTGAACCTCCTTGGGGAAGGCACCCTGTTGACTTTCATTACTTACCTGGCCTGGGAGGAGAGCTGGCCAGGTAAAGGTAGGTGGCATCTCCAAGAGCAAATTTAAAGCTCTGTCTGCAATGTTACTGACCCTACTTGTCCATTCTCTCAACAGTGGCGGTCACTTTGAAGGCTGAGCCAAGTGAAGGGATTTTCAGCTTAGAGCCAATAAGATCTGTGGCTCTGACCTGAAGTCCTTCGATTCCTGGGCAGGTCCATTTCCAGTGATCCAACTCCTGGCTGGCAGAGCTGCCAGGGCTCTTTATAAGCTGACTTCTGCTGAAGCCCAGGCTTACCACATTAAAAGCCACTGCAGTGGCCTGGCCTATTGGGTCTCCCTGAGGGCAGATCACTGTACACAGCTGCCTGTAATAGGCCTGCCATCCATCTTCACATTGCTTCTGATGTCCAGTTTTCTTTTCCTCCTGGTTCTTGTTAAAGTAGACCAGAGAATGCAAGTCAAAGGAGTGCTCAGTCCCACCTCTAATTTGTGTTGTCTAGACTATAAGTCCAGAGTTATAGGCATGTTTCTTATAAATATTTAGCTGGGTTGAGCTACTCTGATTTCTGAACATGGTTGACCTTTAACAGAACTGACTTATGTCCTTACCCAAATAGCTATGCAAGGATATTGCCAGACTGTCACTACAAAATCTTACCAGTTACCAGCCATGCTTAGAAAACCTTGCACCACCAGAGGCAAAACAGATACGTTACTCTGTGTGGTGTTGCCTGGCAGTGGCTTTAATTTTCTATGCTAGTCTTTAATCCAAGTAATTAAGTAATCTCACAAGGAATAATCATACATGGCAATAGGGTCAAAAAGGCAGCGCAGTTCTTTCATACACAAACATTTTAAGAGTAATAGCAAGTGAAAACTTAGCAAGCAGATTCAATTATTAGACAACAACTTAGGAAAACACCTACCAGAAGGCCCAATGTCCTTCACAAATTTTAAGAACACATGTACTCGGAAACATCTCTTAAATACCCAACATGCTGTAGCTTGTTTAACCAGCAAATTTAAGCACAAGTATATAAAATATTTTCAGTTTTTTTTTCTTTTAACAAGTTTACAAAGGTTTAGGTTACACGAATTTTCGAGCAACTTTAGCCTTTTAAATTTACGGGAAACATTCTGTTACAGATTACAATATAATCATGCTCTACAGCAATATGTAACACTTGAAATAACTTTCTTGTATACAGAACATTTAGACCCGCAGAGACATTAGAAAAACATACATAAATGATACAGAGGAGTTGATTAGTTAGATGCATTTAGTTTCACAGCAAACTACAGGGTCACATACATCAGAACAATAAAGCAGTTTCAGTGATAGTTGTTAGAATCTATAACCTTTTTTATAAATCACCAATTGATTTGAATTACTTTCTGATCTTAGTAACCTCAGTTAACTATACTTTTTTCCCAGTTGGTACCTGCAATACATTATTGGCTTTATCAGTTTAGAGAGTCATCCCAAAGTACTGAATACAACAGATGTAGCTGGAAAAAGTCCATTGCAACCTATAGGAGGACAGTTAAACACAGAACCAACAACGCTTTAGTTTTATGAGCAGTAAATCTGATATACAAAACTGTGGATGACAAAAGACCTTACGTTGTCATATTTAAAATTACAAACCTGTTAACCAAGAAGAGACACTTATTTACTTTACATAGCATTTTTGAAAGCACCTGTAGGATTTTACAAGGCACACTTAACTCTTTTAGGCCTCTGGGGCCCCTTCACCAAGATGACCATTATGTTTAGTAATGCTAGATTACCAGACTTTATAATTTTCAGATATGTATCAATACTATTTTATATCATGACATAATACAGGCCAAATTTGATCACTGTTACAAGGTGATTATTTAAAGGTTTGAAAATAAGCACATATTTAAATAACCCATAGCTCTTACTAAAAACTCAGTTGTTTTTAAACAATTAGAATTTAACAGAGACCTCAAGAGAACACAACAGATTAACTTTTTGCTCGAACAGAAAATCAGTAATAGTTTCGTGTCCAAAAATTTTTTTCTTGTAACTTTTTGTGACTTTTACACACCCTCTTTAACTTACTTGAAACATTTTATTTTTATACTTGTAATGTTTTTCATCTGTCAATTTTCTTGCTTTACATTTTGAAATAACCTATTAAAAATCTTTAAATCAAGACCACATTTTCAAACAAGGTAACATATCAAATTTCAGCATTAATTACTTTTAAGTGATGTTGAACTATTTTTAATATGGACAATCTATGAAAACATGTTAGCAAATTCAAACAGTTTTTCTATAGAACATAAGGTGTTGAAAGTACCAAAGTTTACATTTGGACACTTATCTCATTTGTCTTTACCCAATTTAAATTAGCAGTTACACCTAAATGACTTAAGATGCTGATATTATATATCTGTATCTGAATTTAATTAAAATTAAAATTGTATTTATCTAAAACAAGTGCTAATTACCTTACTGTTTCACTGAGTACTGACCACCCAGAAATTTGTTAAAACAAACTGCAAAATAAGTTCAGCAAGTTACAAAGCAGTATCTTCTGGCTTGCACGAGATAAAACAGAAGAGCCATCAGAAGGGTGGGATACCCGATTTGTTTCATTGATAAGACAGGGAGAGTAGACTTTGGACCAGACCTGGTTCTAAGGTAAAGTTCAAATTCTGAGATAAGGCAAGCGGGAGGAGAGTTACCCAGTCCACACCAGTCTCTAAGGCCAAATTCGAATTTTGTGCCAATCTTGCATGCTGCCACTTTGAGACCAGCCAACAGAGCCTGATGATAGACATGGAGTCTTTCCTTTACAGAAATTAACCCAATTGTAATTGTCCTTTTTAACATTTACATTGTTCCAACATGCCAGAAGGCTGTTCACCTTGGAGACCTGCTGGAGATATGGGCATGGCCTGGCAAGAGATTTACACCCTCTTCCCCGGATTTTTGAGGGCCAGCAAGAGCTCACCGGATGCCGCAGCCGGCCCTCAGGGCTCCCGCTGGCTTCTCCGCACTTCACTGAATTTCTTTACTTTGACACTCAAGAGCACTGGGCAGAAATCACATTGCATCAACACCCGCCACCGGCCCTCGCTATGCTTTGTTTCAATTAAACAGTTGGAATCCACTGGTCCGCACCAGTTCTAAGTCGGCTACTAGGCGCTGGCAAAGGCGAGGCACCATGCGGAACTGCGGCCCCAGGGGCGGAACTGGGGCAGGGAGGAGACTGTGCAGCACCGGGGTGGGGGAGGGGACACAAACACGGGCCCGTACAGAATTTCCACGGACAGATTTAGATGGTCGTATTACAGAAGGTCTCAACTGCTCCGAGGCCAAACCTCCGGGAGTTTGAAGGAGACCAAAGACCTTACGGATGGGATGAGAACTCTGCAGCAGTCCCTCTTTGTCCCCAGATACAGATTGGATCTTCCCAGGTCCCCAGATACTCCTGTTTACAATTGCTCACTAAACATGGGTTCCAGATTGCCCCTGAAAAGGTTCAAAAGGTACCCCCCTTTAAGGTTCTTGGGGCTGTCTTAGAACTAGATACGGCCAGCGCCGCGGCTCAATAGGCTAATCCTCTGCCTTGTGGCGCCGGCACACTGGGTTCTAGTCCCGGTCGGGGTGCCGGATTCTGTCCCGGTTGTCCCTCTTCCAGGCCAGCTCTCTGCTGTGGCCCGGGAGTGCAGTGGAGGATGGCCCAAGTACTTGGGCCCTGCACCCCATGGGAGACCAGGAAAAGCACCTGGCTCCTGGCTCCTGCCATCGGATCAGCGCGGTGCGCCGGCCGCAGCGCGCTGACCGCGGCGGCCATTGGAGGGTGAACCAACGGCAAAGGAAGACCTTTCTCTCTGTCTCTCTCACTGTCCACTCTGCCTGTCAAAAAAAAAAAAAAAAAAAAAAAGAACTAGATATGGTCTCCCCCACTCGACCGCAGCTTCAGATCCAACAAACCTATTCTTTATCTCAGTTAAAAAAAAACTCCTTGAGGAAATTAACTGGGTGAGACCTCGGATCCCTATTCGAACCCAAGGAGCTTACTCCCCTATTTGACCTCCTTAAGGGAGGTACCTTGTATAAGACTATTGCTTTAGAAAAAACACACCAACACATTCTCCTTAAGCTCCAACAGGCTATATAGATTGTTCCTGCCTGAGGCGTTATGACCCTTCCACGCACCTACTCTTCTATATCTTCAGCAGAAAATCCCTCATCACCGGCCTTTTGGCTCAAGATGGAGAACCCATCCACTGGGTTCATCTGTCCGTGGGAGGGGCCCCCCAGATCTGTGTCACCCTAGACCACCTCGCTGACTGCATCATAAAGGGTAGGGACCTGTCCGATCGTCTCTTTGGTCATAAGCCACATACCCTTGTTGTACCATTTTGGTCGACTGATTTCGAGTGGTTGCAACGAAACAATACCTGCATTGCAATTGCTCTAGAAGGCTTCCCGGGGAAGACTGATTGCCACTGTGGCCCCTATAAATGGATGAACTCCTTCTCCAAACTTGACTGGATACTACCCAAATTATTTTTGGCTGAAGCTGACCCATCCTTTCACACTGTGTTCACTGACAGGGGAAAAATAGGAGCAGCAATTGCTGTCTTTCCACCCCATATGCAGGGACAAGAAGTGCCAAAAAAAGTAGTTCATTATGTTCAAGGGTCAGCCCAATTCAAGGAACTTTATGCCGTTGTCCTGGCCTTGAAAACAATACAGGGACCCTTTAACCTGTTTACTGATAGTCTTTACATGGCCAATCTACTCCCCAACCTCCCTTGTTCACACATTAAACTTGATGATAACCCTATCACTCCTTTAAGGATTCAAACCAGAAACTTTCTGAAGTCAAGGACTAAGCCTTGTCCACCTCCCGGATATTTTGTCTCAAGGTAATGCCATTGCGGATTCATTAGCGTCCTCATCCCAGTGCTACCTTACACAAGATGAGGCTATCTCCTTTCACGACCTTACGTCAATTGGAGGGGGTTACAACATCGATACCCCCATGACCCAATTAAAGAATTAAAGAAAATCGTCTGAACTTCTAAGTCCTGCTCACCATTCTTACAGCTACCTCCCTTACAGGGGCCCGGGGTCAACCCTCGTGGACTGGCGCCCAACCACCTGGCAAACTGATGTCACCCATTTCACTTCTTATGGAAAGCTTAAGTATATTTTTGTAACTGTTGACACCTTTTCTCAATGCCTGCTGGGCTACAGCCTACACAGGCGAAAAGGCTAAACACACTAACAATCATCTATTACAATGCTTTGGGGTTCTTGGCATTCCTAAACAAATTAAAACTGATAATGGACCTTGTTTTACCAGCACCTCATTTGCTACTTTTCTAAAGTGTTGGGAAATTAAACATATCACTGGTATCCCCTATAACCCTGCGGGCCAGGCAATCACTGAAAGACAAAACAAAACATTAAAGGCCCAACTTATAAAACAAAAAGGGGGAGTAACACCCCCTCATGACCAGCTAAAGATGGCATTATGCACCTTAAATATTTTAAATTTTTCAAAGACTGACAACCTCACTCCTTTCCAGCGACACTGGACAACTACTCTTAAGTACTCCACTGTTAAGGTCCAAGGTCCGATGGAGAGAACCCCCTCACGGGGGCCTGGAGGGGCCCTGACCCACTCCTAACGGCAGGCAGAGGCTTTGGATGTGTCTTCCCCCAAAATGAAGACAAGCCCATCTGGGTCCTGGCCAGAGACCTCAAACACCTTCCCCCCACTGACCTTATTAATGACCTTAATCCAAGAGCCCAGCCCTCTTGAGGCGTTATCTCTCTCTCTCTTTTTCACAGGAATGATGAGACACCTGTGGCTACCTGTTGCAGGGGCGGTCCTCCCAACCCTGCTATTGGAACTGTTGCCTGGTGAGACGTCATCCGGCGGGGGACACTGGGAATTTCGGATCTTGGCTATCGGGATCGATCCTCCAGGAGTCCTCAACACTTCCAAATGTACCTCAAAGGAAGCTGAGCTTTACTTTGACGCCTGCCAACCCACTACCAGGTGGGGGTCCTGTGCAGACTGGGAAAAAACTTATGCAACTAACCATAAATACATATGCTGGAAAACATTACAAAAGGGAGACTGTGTGAATAGCCAGGAAGGTACTGCCCCTACTGGAGCTGCCCACATTCACACACAGGGTCGCTTAAGAGTCCTTTGGAGCTACTCCGCCCAAAGGGGAGCTCCTGTAAAAGAGGAGCTTGCAACCCAGTAAACTATAAGAAATTCCGATGATCCTAAATGGCTCTCAGGAGAGGATGCAGGAATTCGAGTGGGCGGGAAAGGAAGAGATCCATAGGGCCTCATTAGAACAATAAAGGTATGGATCCCTGCTCCTACTTCCTCCCCCATTGAGGAAGTGCTTCAACAAGCAAAAATACATCCCAGCTAATCAGTAATGTGGAAAAGGAAAATAGCCCATATAGCCCTTTTTGACCTGACTAGAGATGCTCAACCTTACTTACCAGCTGCTTAACACCTCCACGTTACCTGTCCGGCAAGGCTGTTGGCTATGCGCAGTACCTCACCAAAGGAGACCCCCTATTATGCTCATTGGCACGGAGTTAAAGGCTAGCTCTCTGTCCCGTGCCCCTCTTTGTAGGTGGCTACAAAGGCCGGGACTGGGACAGAAGCCAGGGGCTGAAGCAGAAGCAAGAGACTTTAGGCCGGCGCCGTGGCTCAATAGGCTAATCCTCCGCCTGGGGCGCCGGCACACCGGGTTCTAGTCCTGGTCGGGGCGCTGGATTCTTTCCCGGTTGCCCCTCTTCCAGGCCAGCTCTCTGCTGTGGCCCAGGAAGGCAGTGGAGGATGGCTCAAGTCCTTGGGCCCTGAACCCCATGAGAGACCAGGAGAAGCACCTGGCTTCTGCCTTTGTATCAGCGTGGTGCGCCGGCCACAGCGGCCATTGGTGGGTGAACCAGCAGCAAAAGGAAGACCTTTCTTTCTGTCTCTCTCCCTGTGTGGTTAACGCCTTAGGTTCCTTTGTTAGAAAACAGCTTCATTCAACCCATGTCAACCAGCTGGAAGTCAGGTACCAGGCCTTTTTTTTGACACTGCCTGTCAAAAAAAAAAAAAAAGATAATACAGCTGGTGCCGCAGCTCAATAGGCTAATCCTCCGCCTGTGGCGCTGGCACACCGGGTTCTAATCCTGGTTGGGGCGCCAGATTCTGTCCTGGTTGCTCCTCTTCCAGTCCAGCTCTCTGCTGTGGCCAGGGAGTGCAGTGGAGGATGGCCCAAGTCCTTGGGCCCTGCACCCCATGGGAGACCAGGATAAGCACCCAGCTCCTGGCTTTGGATCGGCGTGATGCACCGGCCACAGCGCGCCAGCCGCAGCGGCCATTGGATGGTAAGCCAAAGGTAAAGGAAGACCTTTCTCTCTGTCTCTCACTGTCCACTCTGCCTGTCAAAAAAAAAAAAAACATAAAAAAATAGATAATGCAACTCTACTGCCTAATCAGTCTTACTGAGCACTCGCAAATGCTTCCTTCCTATGCCAGCATCTATTAACCCGTACCATGAGAGGCGATCAAATCTGCTCCCCTGTCTTGTTGCTTCTCCACAGGTTGAAATTGCCTTGGCTACTGAGCCCCTTACGATTCCCCTCTCCAGAAAAGCCCGGATAGCCCGGGCGCTGGCCCTTATCCCCTTACTTGTGGGGTTGGGTGTTTCGGCTGGGGTGGGTACCGGTGTGGCTGGGATCTCCGCCTTTTATCTCAACAACCGATTACATTCTCAGGTTGTCGGGGACCTGCGAGAAATAACCCAATTGCTTAGAGTCTTACAGGAACTGATCTCCTCCCTGGCCTCAGTAGTCCTTCAAAACAGAAGAGGATTGGATTTACTAATGGCAAAGGAGGGAGGCCTTTGTGTCTTCCTCAAGGAGGAGTGCTGCTTTTTTGTTAACCAATCTGGAGTTGTCCAGGATCGAATTAAACAACTTCAAGACAACCTTGAAAGTCGCCGGCGATGCCTAATGGACTCTTACAATGGCTGGCGAGGGATGTGGGGAGGGTGGCTGCCCCACCTCCTGCCGTTGTTTGGTCCAATCACTGCCATAATTGCACTTCTGCTAATAGGCCCCTGTGTGGTTAACGCCTTAGGTTCCTTTGTTAGAAAACAGCTTCGTTCAACCCAAGTCAACCAGCTGGAAGTCAGGTACCAGGCCCTTGTTAGTCAACAGGAGGAGGTACCTAGCCTGACAGGAGACTTCCGTACTCGTGAACAGTATATGTGATAGGCCCTTGAGGGCGTGCCCGGCTCGTGTCCTGCCTGACCTTTCAGCTGGTTGGCTCAGTTCCCTTGTGCCTTGGACAGCCCCCTTTTTGTGTCTATAAAAGCTTTTCCCCCTCCCAAAAAAGTTGAGAACCCGGCTGCGCCCTGGGCATTGACTGATCTCCCAGCTCTGGTGTGGTTCCTTTGCCGCCAACACTCATCATCCCGTTAGGCCTCCAAGCTCCGTAGGCTGGCCCTGAGGAGCTCCATCAGACCTGCTGCCCTGTAGCGAGCAGCAGGCAGAAGCAGAAATAATGAAGGGGCTGCATCACCCTCACATTATAAAACTGTTGCAGCTAAGGCACACGACAGAGAGAGCCTACATTTTTATGGAGTATGTGATCGGGGGGACCTTAGGTGGTACATGATAGAGAAAGGCTGCCTACAGGATGAAGAGATACATAGGCTGTTTAACCAAACTTTATTAGCTGTGCATTACTGCCATGAGCAGCGTATCATGCACAGAGATTTAAAGTTAGAAAATCTCCTTCTAGATGCCAATCTAAATATTAAGTTGACCGATTTGGGGCTCAGCTGCAAATTGGCTGATGGAGAAAACCTGAAAGATTTGTGTGGGACATTTGAGTATTGTGCCCCTGAGGAATTCTTAGAGGAGGAGTTCAGTAGGTACAAGGCTGATGTCTGGAGTCTGGGCGTGGTCCTGTACACCATGGTGACATGGTCACTACCTTTTGACGGGGAGGATTTTGTGCAGCTCAAGGAAAACATCCTGTCCGGACACTACCAAATTCTCACCTGTGTAAACCTAGAGCTTAGTAACCTGTTGGAAAGGTTACTGACCCATGACCCGGAGGTGAGGCCCGTAGTGGCAGACACCATGAGCTACCAGTGGCTCAGTGCAGGACATGAAGTACCTGAAACAAGTGAAGAGTTTCTGTTTCTCCCCCAGGAACAGGAAATACAGGAATTCCCAGGGGGCCTATGCTCTCATTTGTGCCTTAAAGAACGGGATGACCCCTTGTCTTCTGTGCCACACTGGGTGAAATCCCAACAGCAGGGCTTTAGCATGCAGGAAATACATGGACATAGTGAAGTGGAAACTTTAGCATCTCCTCAGGGTCCTGAAGCTCTAAGGTCTTTTGAGGACCTGGGATTCCAGCTGGACCATAAAGCAGGCTCCCTGCCACCCAGGCTCCAAGCCAGTGCCTTGTCCCCAGGACTTCAGAAGAACCGCAACAAAGTGAAGCCCATGCCTCAATGCCATCCCCAGTGTTCAAAGCAGTCCCATTCTCCATTGCGTCCAGGGACAATCAGGCTGCAACAGCAGAGCCCATGAGTGTGCTGCTCTCAGCTCCCAACCACTGATACTTGCAGAAGACCAATCGGGGCAGAATCCTTGCCATGAGACTCCCGGTATGAGTAGCAGTGAGTCCTGCAGGATAGATAGTTCCCAACTGGCCATGTTGACAAGGACCCCCGCTGACTGTGCAGTCCTTAGCCAGGATCCTCTGACCTCCCTCTCCACCACACTGAGCACCAACAGCAGTGAGGATGATTTAGAAGTCAGGAGCTGCCCCCAGGCAGCATCAGAGAATCAGAGCATCCCAGGCAAACAGCAGCAGCAGCAGAGGAGCAGGAGGAGGAGGCAGGGACCTCAGACACTCAGGCTAAAAAGAGCAAGGGTCGCCCGGGGATTGGCAGGAGGATCATCAAATTCTTCACCTGGATGTGTTGTATCCGGCAAGCCCCAGAGGAAAGCCCTTGAGTCCAGAGTAGAAAGTGGCCTCTCAGTAGCCTCTTGGGAAATGCCCAAGAGGAGGGGCCCTTATATGAGAAATGAAACAATGAAGGGGTATTCATGGAATCCTGTCTGGGAGGAGGGAAGGTGAGGAGGCAGTAAGAGAAATTATAGGCAGAGAGGGAATATACTGTCCCATTTTTCAGATGGTCAATAAGGTAACATTTTTTCATGGTTAGGGGTCATGACCATTTCCCAAGAGAGAAGATACAGACACGTGGTGTCCGATTCTGTTTCAAAAATGAATCCATTAATATCACTCCCTAATTAAACTTCCTGTACCCAGGCCTTATTGGACCCCTCCCTTATCCCCCCCCCCCCGGCTAGCAGGAGTATCATTTTCTCAAGAAAACCTACTTTTGCTTTGCTCCCCCACTCTCATGATCCATGTTGGGATTATTTATTGCTGTGAGACAAAGAATGGACTTGAAATTCCTGCAGCATCATTGGTGCCATGATTTGGATGGACTCAGATACATTGGAAAGGTGAGTAAGGCAGACTGTTTCTCTGTTTTTTTGTTGAGGGACTATGTAAATACTTAAATATCAACCATACAACTGGTACTCCATATTGCCCACAACACCAGGGAATGATAGAGCGAGCCAATCAAACATTGAAAAGTACGATGGACAAATTTACGGACGAGGTGCAGACTATTGAGGCTCAATTACAGTTGGTACTAATAGCTCTTAACCAAAAAGAAGGGGAGGAATAGGATACACCCCAATGGAGAGATATTATTATCAACAATGGACTGCTTCTAATCAAAAGCTAGCATTACAAAAACTACATGCAGAAAAATATTCTTGCTTTTATAGATTACCGAACAGTAAAGACTGGAAAGGGCCCACTACCACCCTTTGGAGAGGAGAAGGAGCAGTAGTGATTGACACACCTGAAAAGGGGATTATTAGCTTGCCCCACAGACATGTTAGGGTAGTTCCAGCTCGAGAAGACACAAGTTAGAGATTGCACAAGAAACAACCGAATATGTTTAGCTTATAAATTAGAAGAAGATCCATACGAAATCCCCCATAGAAACCTAGTGAAAAATTGTATGATCACTGGCTATGGACTAGTGCTATTCTAACAACCAAAGATACTAGGACTATAATAACAGCAAATGGAAAATATGGGAAATTTGACAGGGATGTTAGACCATTAGCAGAGCAACGATGGGTACCTGGAATGTATGGGCTTGCTTCGAGGGCAACTAGTTGCTGGTATTGCAAGAAAAGTAAAAATTGGAAAAAGGTGATTAGAACAGGAAAACTGGAAGAAGGTGTGATGTATAGAGTACTTTTGGTGTACTGCTTAACACCTCAAGGAACATTGCAAAGATTGGCAGCCTTAGCGTACACATTGTAACAACCATTGATTTTCCTTCTGAAGCATGCACACATAAAGGAACCTTTGGATATTCTCGCCTATATAAGGACATATATAAGTGTTGGTCTTACCTCAAGACTTGGGAATTTCCAATTAGGCACTAATGGAATATCAATTGCAATTATCCTGTCAAAAGAATTCATGTGTTTGTAAGAAATGCAGATACCACTGTCAGTTGTGCTTTTTACAGAAAGAATTAGGGATTTCATATTCCAGAGCTAGGACTAAAGAACTCCAGAGATGGCAACAGCAGCAGCAAATGGAGAAATGTACATTAAAGGAAGAGAAGCTAAAGACCTCTATGAACAGTATATACTTAAACAATTAAGTGAGGAAGAAAATACACCACTTATAAATCCTGTTGAGGGATTGTCTGAGGACCAACAAGATGAATTAGCAGCCCGACTACAAGAACATCTACAACAGCTAAAAGAAGAATTAAAGAGATGGGACCCAGATAAAGGTAAGTTAATTGAAGGTAAGCAAACACTTAAACAATTTAAAGTATTAGGTAACTTAATGAGATTGTGGGAAAGATTTGAACTACCTATGCTCAGAGCTTATGGATTAATAATGACAATTATCATCTTAATTATATTGCCCAGGGTAAAAACAGAAAAACAAGTGTTAGGCTTAGTAGAAAACCCACCAGCCTATACACACCCTGATATTAATAATGTACCCTTTACCTGTGAATCAAACATACCAAGGTCAGGATGTGAGCCCACAGGGACTCTATCCCTCATTAAGACGAAAGTAAAAAATTATACTATTCCTTGGTTAATCCATGCTAAGGAATTGGTGGGACCTTGGAGAGACTTAATTGAACAATTTTTCTGTAGCAACTGTAAACGGTCTAAAGTAGAATGCGGTAATTATACTTGTCAAGCACACAATTATACAAATTGGATGTGCAGTAGTGTAGCACCAAAATTGACAGGGCCCTTAAATCTAGTAACAAAACAAAACAAAGTATATTCTTTTGACTGATGCAGGATCCATGGAATGTATAGACATCACAGAGATTAAGAAAAATACCCCCTTAACTTACACAATGAGAGGATGCCCACTAGAAGGAACTATTTATGAAGCATGTGATGAGTTGAAACAAACAATGTTTGAAGCAGGATTAAGTAGACTGTGTGTCAGACCCACATTTGCCTTAATAAATGCTTAGAATATAAGACATATAGCCTGAGCAGAGATGACAAATTTTACTGGGGAAAGCCTAACTGTACTGCGTGGGTAGCAACAACGTGCACAGAAGAAATACCTTTCTTAGGGCCAGATCTAACCCTATTAGGGTTAGAACATTCATATTTAGAACCGTATGTTAATAATACTAAGGAGAGGATGGATTACTCAGAATGGGAAACTGCATTTGCCCATGACATAGATCCCAGTCTTACTATAACAAAGATCCAGGGGCATATCAATTGCTCTTGGGTAGCTGTAAAGGACTCTTTAGTGTGGATGACCTCCAAACAAAACAGGGGAGTCCAAATAGGGGAGGGACAAGAAAAGGATCTAGAGAGAATTAGTCATGTAGAGTGCTCCTTCTATTATGAAAATGAGAGTTACTACCTTAACGAATCAAACACACCCTACAATTTATCAACTCCAGACTTTGGATATAGCATGTATATGAACGAGACATATCAAATACAATGGTCAACAATTCAAGATGAGTTTTCTGTCTCTTTTATTTGTAAAAATGGCTCAGAGCATAGGTATATTAGATGCAGACCTCCAAGTAATAATCAGTCAATACATTGTTTTTGGCAGGCAGGATATGAAATGTTCCACAAACATTCTGTAAAAACTTCAGTAAGGGAAGACCCAGGAAACTGGACATGCAGGACCGAAGGGGAGGTATTATATGCTAGATGCACACATCCATTAGATTCTAAAAAGGAGATCCATTGTTACATAAGGGACCTGGAATGGGAAAAGAGAATGACAACATTCTTGGCTGCATATATGGTGGTAAAGGCAACTCCCTTCACATATGTGCCAGTAAATATGTCTGATTTGACCATACCAATAAAACCAATGTGCAAAAAAAGAGACTTTGGAGTAACAGCAGCCATTGTCACTACAGCAGTGTCAGCAGCCACGGTAGCTGGTGTTGTGACTGCAGCACTGGCTCTAAGCACTACCCAAATACAGGGAGATGCTTTAGAGTCCCTTCTGAAGATAATTCAGGAGCAGCAGGCTCAGCTAGGTGACCAGTCAGCACTGCTTAAGACACATGCTATGGGGCTCCAAATGCTCGAACCACACGCGGTACAAATAGAACAGATAATTACCATACTAGCTTTGGAAAGAGAACTCAAGTGTGAAACTACTGGAAGAGTTTGCCACCATTCCATTGAACAATCTATCCATTCCTAATGCAACACAACTATCTGATATGTTCAAACACAACCACTCTACCTGGCTACAGTGGGTAAATGCAACCGCTCATCTTGAGGCTAACATTACTAAGAGATATAATACAGCTTCAAAATATAGCAGCATTTAAGGTAGGTCAAGTCAAAACAGTGGAACAGACAATAAATACTCTGACTGACACAGTTTCCTCTTGGCTCCCATCCTGGAAATGGTTTAAAATAGGAGCAATATTTTGTATAGTCCTTGTATGCTTGCCTATCTCACAGCACCTCTTTCTCAACTGGACAAAATTTCGCCAAGGGATACCTGGCCTTCCGAGAGGAACCCAACCCACCGGAAATGGAATAAGAAGAAGAAAAAGAAGACTTCAGATCTGGAAATCAATCCGGGATATGCTCAAGAATGTTCACCCCTTTGGCCCAACGGCTCAATGGGCTTTACAGGGCTAGGAGAGCATTTAAAGAAAAAGACAAGGGAGCGAAACTGATCATTTATCAGGGAAAGAAACTGCACTGTAGCAAAGCTTGCAAGAGGAAATGGCCTAACAGCAAATAGTGGTTGTAACTATGTACCCGCTGCTGCCATGACTACGGGGCCCAAAGGGAGGGAACACAGGCAGCGCTGACCCTAAACAAGTGTATTTAAGAAGACCCTCAGAGCTTGTAAATCGGAGCACTACTCAGCCTCCCTTCCTGGTCCATAGAGCCTAGTGCCCGCTGGGAGAAGCTCCTGGTCTGTAGAGCCTAGTGCCCGCTGGAGCCAGCTGAGTGGCCTTCCCTCCTAGTGTCGGTGTATCAATAAAGAGCATTTAACCTGATTCTTCTCAGTCTCCTCTGTGAACCCTTCATCAGCGTCCTGGACAGTCACTGCTGGCGGGAAAGCTGACAATCATCAAAGACACATGAAACTGGAAAGACATCCTCTGTTCATGAATTAGAAGGATTAACATTAAAATGTTCATATTCCTTAGGAACTTTACAGATTCAATGCAAGTCCTATCAAAATACCAATGGCATTTTTATACAGTCAGAACAACAAATTCTAAAATTCATAAGGAATTATAGAAGACCCAGAGCAGCCAAAGTGACCCTACACAAGAAAAATTATACAAAGCTGGGGGCATAACAATACCTGATTTCACAAAGGTCTAGTAAATAAAATAGGATGAACCTGGAATGAAGATGGATACAAAGATCAACGAAAACAGAGAAAAAATACATAAATACAAACATACATACATAACAGCTAAATGATTTTTGATGAGAATCCCATAGTCTTTTCAATAAGTGGTGCTGACAATACCGGATATACATATGTAGAAGAATGAAATTAAATGTCTACGTTTCACCACACATAAAAATCAACTCAGATGGATCAAGGACCTAAAACTGAGACCTGAAAATACAAACTTGCTGGAATAAAACATAGGGAGACATCTCTTAAACGTGGTAGAGGCAATGACTTTTTGGTTAAAACCCCAGAAGTTCAGGCAGCAAAAGTAAAACTAGATGAATGGGACTACATCAAACACTGAAGCTTCTGTACAGCAAAGAAAACAGTAATAGAGTGAATAAACAACCAATGGAAAGGGATAAAATACTTGCAAACTACTTATCCAACAAAGGATTAATATTCAGAATATATCAGGAACTCAACAAACTCAAAATCAAGCATCCAATGCAGTTAAGAAATGGGCACAAGGGGCCTAAAAAGACAATTCTCAAAAGAAAAAATACAAATGGCCAACAAATATATGAAAAACACTATTACTAGCCATCAGAGAAATGAAAAGAGGGGCTCACACTGTGGCACGGTAGGCGAAGCCTCTGCCTGCAGGGCCAGCATCCTATGTGGGCACTGGTTCATGTCCCGGATGCTCTTCTTCTGATCCTGAATATGGCCTGGAAAGTAGTGGAAGATGGCTGAACTGCTTGGGCCCCTGCAACCACGTGGGAGACCTGGAAGAAACTCCTGGCTCCTGGTTTTGGATGGGCTCAGCTCTCGCCATTGCAGCCATCTGGGGAGTGAACCAGCGTATGGAAGACCTTTGTGTGCCTCCCTCTGTGTCTGTTAACTCTGTCTCTCAAATAAATTAATAAAAAAACTTTAAAAAAGACATGCGAATCAAAACCCCAAAGAGATATCACCACATAATGCTAGAATGCCAATCATAAAGAAAAAGTAAAAAATTCTCCCAAGGATATGGAGAAAGGAGAACTCTCGTATACGGAGCATGGGAATCCAAATGAGTACAACCACTGCAGCAAACACTGTGGAGATTTCTAAAAACTAAGAATAGAACTGCCATATGACTCAACAATCTCAACACTCAGTATATGTCCAAAAGACATGAAATCATTGTATCTAAGAGATACCTGCTCCACCATGATTACTGCAGCACTGTTAACAATGGCCAAGATATGGAATCAACCAACGTATCCACCAGCAGATGAAGACATCAAGAATTTCTTGTGTATATACTAAATGGAATACTATTCAGCCCTTTAAAAATGAAATCCTGTCCTTTGCAGCAAAATGTATGCAACTGGAGGGTATCGTGTTTAGTGCAAAAAGCCAGACACAGAAAGATAAATAACACATGCAAACCTTCACATAAGCAAGCTAAAAACCCAAATGCATAATGATTAATACAGGATGGCAGCCACTGCAGGGGATGAAGGGAGTTTTGATGAGGAGCACAGAATCAGAGTTAGATCAAAGGAATAAATTCCTATTGTTACACAGCACAGTGAGAAGACTAGCTCACAATAACCTCGAATGTATTATATGAACATACAGAAGAAATTCCAAGTCTTCCATCATAAAATATTGACAAAGGAAGGGAAATGTTGATTATCTCATTTTTCATCAGGACACATTGCAGACATGCACCCAGACCTAATACTGTAGCCCTTAGGTAGGTGAAATTATTGTTAATGTCAAAATTTTCAGAACACAGAACCATACCATGAACCAGCAACACCACCACTGGGTACATGTCCCACAGAAAGGAACTAAGCAGTTCACCTACCTATAGTCCCATGTTTGAAGCACATTTTCAGCCATGAGGGAAAGAGCAGGGAGCAGTCTGGTGTGGTTATCAAGGATAATAATCACTTGCCTCTTGCAACAGCAGACCAATCAAATCCACCCGCCAGGTGGCATGTGAGAGTAATCACCTCTCCAAATGCCACCACGGGAGAAAAAGGAATGATGGAAGTTTTGTCTGCAAAGCAGACATTCCTGGGGGACTTTCCAACTGAGTTGGATGGAATAGGAAAACCACAATCAGAAATCCAAAATGACAGCCATAAGATGTCCCCAAATCAGATATGCCTGGGTCAAGAAACTCATTCTGGTACCACAATAGGACAATGTCCCCAAATCAGATATGCCCAGCAGTTCAAACTCATTTTGGTACCACAGTCTCCACTATGAGGGCAGGGATGAAGAAAAAGTAGACTGCATTTTTGTCTCACTAAAAGGGAATAGTATCTTGGCAAACAAAATGAGTTGAGAGTTCATCAGATGAAGGGGTCAAGAGTTTGTTGTATATATATGAAACAGAATACTATCCAGCCATTTGAAAAGAATGACACTCTGTCACTTGAAGCAAGATGTATGGAACTGGAGGTAAGTGAAAACAATCCAGACACAGAAAGACAAATACTGTACCCACTCCCTCACAAACACAAGCTAAAACAATCAGGGGCCAGTGCTGTGGCATGGTAGGTTAAGGCTCTGCCTGTGGTGCCAGAATCCCAAGTGGGCACCCACCGGTTCATATCCTTGCTGCTCCTCTTCTGAACCAGCGCACTGGTTATGGGTTGAGAAAACAATGGAAGATGGCCCTACTGTTTGGGCTCCTACATCCACTTTGGGAGACCCAGAAAAAGCTCCTGGCTCCTGCCTTCGAATTTGTTCTGATGCAGTTGTTGCAGCCATTTGGGTAATGAATGAGCAGAAGGAAAACATCTCTCTGTCTCTCCCTCTCTCTGTAGCTCAGCTTTTCAAATAAAAATAAATAAATCTTTAAAATACACCTATGTGAATACATAATAATTAATAAGGGATGTAAGAGATTGGAGGGAAAATGCAAGGAGTTTGGATGATGGGTACCAAATCAGAGTTAGATCAAGGAGTAACTTTCTAATGTTACACAGAATAATGGAGAGGATAGCTCACAATAACTGAGTATGTGTTGAATGAACATATACAAGGAATTCCAAGACGTCAATCATTAAGTACTGACAAATAAAGGGAAATATTGATCATCCCTTTTTAATCAGGACACATTGCAGACATGTACCAAAATGTCACACAGTAGCCTTTAAAGTATGTATAATTATTGATTTCAAAATTTTTTTTAAAAAACCCTTCACATGAACTAGAAACTCCATCACTGTGTAAACACCAAATGGCCAGGAACTAAGTATTTCAGATACTTTTGGTGACATGTTTAATGCACCAGGGATGTAGTACTTAGAATCTGATGACAATTTCAGCCATTAACAAAGAAGCAATGAGAAGTCTGGTGTAGGCTTACATAACAGTAAGCACCTGCCATTTGCTACAGCAGGTCAATAAAATCCACTTGCCAGGTAGCATGTGAATAATCACCACTCCAAATGCAACCATGCGAGAAGAAGGAATGACAGTTTTGTCTGTACAGCAGGCATTCCTGGGAGAATTCCACAACTGACATGGATACAACAGGAAAGCTACAAGCTCAAATCCAAGTTGATAGGCCTATGATGTCCCAAATCATATAAGCCAGGGAGGCTCCACTATGAAAGCAAGGATGCAGATAATATATAGTGCAGTTTTGCTACATTAAAAGGCAGTAGAATTTTGGCAAGCAAAATAGCTGAGTTGGTCAGGGAGGTTAGGCCAGTAGCACAGGTATCAACAGTGATCCACCAAACGGGGTACTCCAACGTAAGGGTATGGATGGTCCAGTCTGAGGCCACAAAAGGCCATTAGCAATTGGTGATGTCCCTAGAATTGGTGGACATGTGACTTTCAAGATGCCCTTGAGTGTGGCTGGACTGCTCAATGTCAAGTAGGATGATCACAAGTTCTACCCCTTGAGACACATGACACTACCCCTGTATCTGGAAGGAGGTAGCTGATGTGAGATGACTGATGGTGGCTCTCCAAATAGACAAAGTGTCTGACATCCTCATTAAGGACACAGACTCCTCAGGGTGTGGGTTTGTTTGGTCTCTGAAATACCACTTCCATTTAACAAGAGATTCTCAGTGGCTGGAGGCAAGGACCCAGCTCATGATGCTGAGGGAGGTAGTCCAAACTCTCTGTGAGTCAAACAGTAGTGTCACTAATAGCTCAAAGCTAATTTGAAGTCCTTTACCCATGTGACCCTCAGAACCAAAAACTATCCACAGAGTAGTCCTTAGTGTTTTTCTTTGGAAGTGTGCCTGACCAAGGTGCATCCTTGTGGGTGACTGGTGAGATAAGTGGGTCTTAGGGTTCACTAGAGGTGAGGAAATTGGTGTTACCAGAAGGTGAAAATGTGCTGGGCTTCCTTGGTTGAAACCGAATCACTGAGGAAAAGGAGATATATGTGGATTTCTTGAGGATTTTTTCTGAATTCCTTTTTCAAAATATAGACCAAAAATTTGAGGTTGCAAGATCTCATCTCGTGTGGAACTAAGGTCCACACCCACTCGGTCAAGAAGTCCGTTGCTGATGTTCGAGGCCCATTTTTCCTCCTCCTCTTGATTATCAGTTGAAACGATGTCCTCAACATAGTGTCACAGGTGGATGCTAGGTGACAACTGAAGGCCAGCCAGATCCTATTAACAGACCATGAGCCCTGCAGGACCATAGAAGCAGCCCACTTGAAGTCTCATAAAGGTGCATTGTTGGCCTTTAAATGAAAAAGTAAATGCTGGGGCTGGTGCTATGGTGCAGCGGATTAATGCCCTGACCTGAAGCACCAGCATCCCATGTGGGTGCTGGTTCAAGATCCACCTGCTCCACTTCCCATCCAGCTCTTTGCTATGGCACAGTAGGTAAGGCTTCAGATAACAATGCTTCCATTTCATACTGTAGTGCTGGGTCATGCCCAGCTACTCTATTTCCAGTACAGCTTCCTCCTAAGGTGCATGGATAGACAGTTGGTGATGTCGGAAGATCTCAGCCCTCTGCAACCTATGTAGGAGAAGATGATGGAGATCCTGCTCCTGGCTTCACCTTGGCTAATCTGTAGCTTTGCAGCCATTTGGAGAGTGAGGTAGTGGGTTGGATGATCTGTCTCTCCCTCAATAATATTTTTTTCCAAACAAAAAATCATTAATATATAACAATGGCCAAGGAACTGTGACAGAGTTGTTAAGATGCCATTTGGTTTACCCATGTCCCATATCAGAGCACCTGGATTTCAGTATAATCTTCCTGCAGTCAGGTTTCCTGCTAATGCACACTCTGATGGAGAGCAGGCATTGCGTCAGTTACTTAGGTCTCTTCCACCAATATAAGAGAACTGGATGGAGTTCCTGGCTTCTGACTTTGGCCTAGCCCTTCCATAATGTTTGCAGGCTTTGGTCATGAGGTCAACAGATGGAAACATCTTTCTCTATCTCACACTGCCATTCTAATCAGAATATAAAGGCTTCAATTCACTGTATTTGGCATGGGAATTAAAGACATCATTTTTGGTGGCAGCACCCCATCACAGAGTATCCAGGATCAATACCTGTCGCATTCAAATCCAGGTTCCTGCTCATGCATACCCTGGGAAACAACAGAGGATGGCTCAGATACTTGGGCCCTTGCCACTCAAGTGGAGTGATCCAGCCAATGGGAAATCTGTTTTCTTGTCTTTCAATGAAACATAATGAATAATGCTTAAGTAAGTGAATAAATAATTCCACTGGGTCCAAGGCAGATTGTTTGGGACTGTCCTAGGGGCAGCTTTGCCATTCGGGGGTGGTGGCTGCACATACTCGCTGAAGAATGCCTAACAGCCTCAGTGGCTCTCTTTTGTTCTTAATTGTACACTGTCCATTGAAACAAAGAGGCTCCTGCTGTAGTGTGGTGTTTCACATGCTCTGGACACCCACTGCAGCAGAAAAAGGGACAGTTTATGTTCACCCTCTGCGCAAACATGACACCATCTGTTTGAGCTTTCCAGACAAGTTGGACAGGAACTTGATGTAGTTCAGTGAGAGCTGCCAGCTGCCAACTCTGTTGCCTGGTGATTTATAGACTACATCCTGTCAGGAACACAGCAAGGTTGCCCTTCTCAATATGGCCCTGTCCAGTCTTTGAGCAGGCTTTGTGTCTCCATCCACAGCAAGGTGGGTACATCTGTGTGGACTTCCTTGGTGTCTGAGATACAGCACTTCACCACCTGAGACAGTTGCAGATGAGGCATCAACTTTTTTAACCATGTCGTGGGTGGTACTTGGCAGCATGTGAGGGGCAGCCAGCAGTCATCTGGTGCATCCAGACTTACCATCCCACAGCACACAAGACTCTGCATTACCCAGGTGGAGGTGCCAATGTCTGAAATGATCCCATGAGAACATGTTACTTAGATGCTGCTGCCAGCAACACTCTGCACACAACCTTGAGTATAGGCCTTCCCTTAAGAAGCTTCACTGTCTCACTGGGAGTCTGTGGAGGGACACGGAAAGCAGTGATAAACCAAAATATTGAGGTTGCAAGCTCTCATCTCGTGTGGAACTAAGGTCCACACCCACTCGGTCAAGAAGTCAGTTGCTGATGTTCGAGGCCCATTTTTCCTCCTCCTCTTGATTATCAGTTGAAATGATGTCCTCAACATAGTGTCACAGGTGGATGCTAGGTGACAACTGAAGGCCAGCCAGATCCTATTAACAGACCATGAGCCCTGGAGGCACCACAGAGGCAGCCCACTGGAAGCTGTGTGGGTGCATGCACCCATTAGCAATGGCAGTCCACAAGTCTACCAGGTACTACTCTAATTCCCATATGGCAAACGACAGAGAAATTTTCCACAGGTAACCTTCAAGCATTTTTGACATGTTCTTATATTTATGACATTACATATTCCTCAACACAACTGTTAACAATAACTGAATTCAACAACATTGTAGAATACATGATGTTGTGCATGGAAAAATGTAAACACTCCACCAAAAAATGGTTCAAGATAAAAAACCAATTCAGTGACGTTACAGGTTACAAATCAACATACATAAACAGTTGCTTTTTTATATTCTAATAACCAGCTTGCCAAAAATGAAATCTAACAATTAATCCCATACGCAATAGGGACAAAAATAAAACATTTAGGAATAAATGCAACCGATTAAGTGAAAAATATCTACAATGAAAATTCTAAAACGCTGAAGAAATAAATCATCAAGGACTCCCAAAATGGAAAAATATAACCTACACATGGATTGGAAGAATTAGTATAATTAGAATACCTATATTACTTAAAGCAACCTACAAAATAAATGAAATTCCTATCAAACACCAATGACATGTTTTACAGAATGAGAGAATAATCCTAAATTCCCCAAGAAAAAAAAAGTGGAAGTTCTCTCCTCCTTTCAGAGAAAGGCACCTCCTTCTTTGATGGCCCGTTCTTTCCACTGGGAACTCACTTGCAGAGATCTTTCATTTGTTGTTGTTTTTTGTTTTTTTTCTTTGTCTGTTTTTTGGCCAGAGTGTCTTGGCTTTCCAGGCCTAAAATACTCTCGTGGGCTCTTTAGCCAGATCCAAATGCCTTAAGGGCTGATTCTGTGGCCAGAGTGCTGTTTAGGACATCTGCCCTTCTATGAGTCTGCCGTGTATCCTGCTTCCCATGTTGGATCGTTCTCTCCCTTTTTAATTCTATCAGTTAGTATCAGCAGACACTAGTCTTGTTTATGTGATCCCTTTGACTCTTAGATCTATCAGGGTCAACTGTGAACTGAAATTAATCACTTGGACTAGTCAGATGGCATTGGTACGTGCCACCTTGATGGAACTGAATTGGAATCCCCTGGCACGTTTCTAACTCTACCATTTGGAAGCCCTCACTTTTTAAATTTTTGGTTTGTTAAGAACAGTGTGCAAACTGAAATGGCTCCGCAGTGATTCTCAAAAAACAGTAAAATCCCAAATATGAAAAAAAGCTTATCTCCTACTCATTGTATTGCTCTGATGCTATTCAATTACACATACACATGAAAACATACTACCATTTTTCTTAATTAGAGGAAACAATCTAAAATAAATATCCATTCCCATCTTAAAACACAGCATAGTAGCCTTTCGAATGAGCATGACAAGAAAGAACAGTTCAGTTATTTACAGGTTCTGGTTTTGCTTGTCTTAATTAACCATTTTCAAATACCATAATATCAGTTGTGACATTAATCATTTAAACCCCTTAACTTTATACACCAAGTAACATGCTGCTATTTTTACTTACATTTTATCAACAAGAGTTGTACAGATTTATGGGCTAGTGTGACATTTCAATACTCATATAAAATTTGTACTGATCAAATCTACATTAATCTTTCGACATTATTTTATGGATAGAGCCTTGAGCTAACCTTTATTTCATTTTCTAATAACAGATGTAATGGATTACTGTGAGCTACAAACATCCACCTGTATGATTCTAGGAAATTACTCAATAATCTAATGCTACTGCAATAATCATCCGTGTCTATGTTTCCTCCTAGTTTTAATATTGCAATTCATTTCAATCAATAAGGGGGAGGAGCAGAGAGAGAGAGAGAGAGAGAGAGAGAGAGAGAGAAAGATAAAGACACCACCCATCTAGTAGTTCATTACCCAAATGCTCAAAATACGCAGGGCTGATCTGACCCAGGCTGAAGCTGGGAGATGGTCTCCAATGTGGTAGCAAGAATCCCACTACTTAAGCCATCACGGGCTGCCACTGGTATCCTGAGCATTGTCTTTCCCACTATGCCAAATGTCTACCCTTCAAAAAACTTTTGGGACATACCCTCATATAGCCCTGGCTTCCAGAGGAGGAGGCCACAGTCCCCTGTCTTGACCCCATCACTGCATGGACTCCTACTCCCCAATCACCACACATGTCAAGCTCCTCCTCAACTCCAGCCACAGCATCTGGTTTAAGGGATCCAAATGAAGACACTGGGAACCCTGGCCCACCAGGGTTACCAAACATGCAGTCACTGGACATAAAGGCCCACATCTGAGACAAAAGCAACCTGGATAACCACATGTCCAAAACTGAAACTGCATCATTGTTACACCACATATTAAAATCAACTCAAAATGAACTGGAAGTCCACACAGAAGATCTGAACACTTACAACTTATAAAATAGAAAATTCCTTGACATTAGCCTCAAGAGCGGTTGCTTATGTGTTAATTAAAAACAGAGAGCAAAAGCAAACAAAAGGAAATGAAACTACAACAAACTAGTAAAGCAATAAAGCAAAGATCAATGAAATGAAAAGGCAAACCAATGAATAGGAGAAAATATTAACAAAACATATGTGTGATCAAGGAAGTAATACAGGGAATGCATACACTAAGAAGCAAAGAATACAATTACAAAAGGACAAAGGACTCAATCAATGTTTTCCAACAAAGACAGACAATGTACCCAGTGGGTATGTGAAAAAGTTCTGAACATTGCTATCATCAGCAAAATGCAAATCAACATGACAATGGTTATTATCTCATATCTGTTAAACGGCTACTATTAAAAAGTTAAAAGATAAGTATTGGGCACAATGTAGAGCACACAGAACACACAGTATTGGAGGGAATGTAAACTGTACCATCCATTAGGAAAAACAATATGGAAGTTCCTCAAAGAAAATCTAAAAAGGAACAACCTTTATTAGCCATGAATCCAAAAGAAAATCACCATCTCAAAGAACTGTCTGCACCTCCACATTCACTTCAGCATCATTAACAATTTCACCATACGGAAATAACCCAAATGTTTGTTGATGGACCCATAAGGAAAAATGGGATACACATACAGTGGAATCCTCGCCAAACCTTAAAAAGTAAATGTTTACAAAGTTTAAATGTCTTTGAAAGCTGCACTCTGAAAACTACACATATACCAATTCATTGCAGGATTTCCTGGACTCCATGCCTGTTCTCTCACTATAGCACTTCAGTAGAAAGCTTCAAATATTTCCAATATTGAACTGCAAGTCACAGTTTTAGTTTTCCCATTCATAATCATTGAGGCCTACATAACTCACAAACAAAATTGTATAAAGGTGAAACAAAGGCATTGTTTGTAGCAAACTCACCATCCAGTTTTCCCCCATAGATCTGACTTTCATTAAACAGAGGAAAAGCATCTTAAAGATGTCTGGCATAAAGCACTCTAATTTTGGAATTTCCCCAGAAAGCTTCTATATTTTAACTTCTTCTTAGTAGTACACTAGAAATTGCTAGCCTAGGATTTTGTGGGAGACGCTAAAGTTTAATGGTGGTCACAGGAGCAGAGGCGTGGAAAAAGTGATGGAATTGAGACATAAAAGCAAAAAGCAAAAGATTCCCACATTCCTGCGGCTTTGAGAAGGGTATAGGGACCAGCCAGCCTTTGAGATGCCTGGTGATTGTTATCAGAGAACATCTGTGGATTGGGAGCATGAGACAACAAAAGAACAGATGTTTCTTGGTGTGTTGTGTGTGAGGGAAAGGAATTATGGAATCAAGGATCAAGTTTGAAAATAGCCAAAAGGAGAAAACCATGGGCAATATAAACAGGTCTAGCTAATGATGGGAGAAAAAGCCAAGACCTTCCTGAAACACAGTACAGAGATAAGGCTGTCTAGGATGAGAAGACCAGTGTGAACAAACACTTAGTTTTAACATGGGGTCATTTCAACTTCTGGATTTGAACAATCAGCACTAACAGGAACACCAAGAGTGGATAATGAGGAAACTGGAACATCCATGAGGACTTGCATCAAGGGGTGGTTTCTGAGTAGTCACTGGTCAGCATCTCATAAGATGAGGTTCAAGGAATGACCCTTGGGTGTCAACACTAGTAACTGCTAACCAGAAGGAAGGCAGACTTCATTCACCACATACTGTAAGATCCAAACCACAAAACACAATACCTACGGATTTTGAAAATTTGTGTTGTTTAAAACACAGGGACAAATAGGGATTTCATTTCATCAACCGAAGTTTTAGAACCAATTACGTGGCAACCATTGTGGATACTGTGCAGAAACAATGCCCCTGCCTTCTCAGACCTAAAAATGCTCTAAACATATCATAATCCAAATGATTTCAATATTTCATATTTCAAAATCTAATGTAGAAGTAAAAAGAACCTGTATTGAGTTATTCAGAACCTTAATAGTTTTATAACTGCAACAAATATACTTAGGAAGTAATGCTGACTTCTAAAAATTTCGGTGCCATCCTCTGACTAGGAGTCCCCATACTCCTAGTCAATGCAATAATATGACTGGGACATGTAAATTTTGCATGATATGTCTCCCCACATAACCACATTCATTAACACAATATAACAATGTATTCCTCAGGAACTTTTTCAAAAAATTAGGGAAACACTGGATAGCACAGAGGCAGAATCAGATTTCAGTGGGGCAATGACAACAATATGCAACCATCTTTTTGGGTTTACCACTCAATGCTCTCACTGCTGTGTGGCAGAACCTTCAATGCAAACTGAGATAAACTATCTTAGCAAATTAGGAAAAGCAGGAAGCAAATCCTGCGAGCAGGAATTTCCTTTCTCGATGACCAGATCCATTTTCTCAGCTCCTATACACTAAGTAGAACTATAAACCCAGAAAATAAAACAAGAGACCTGGAAATTAACACAGTCACTGGGCATCTTAATTGCCCACCCAAAAGAAGATGACTCACCTGCTGCTTCACCCATCCTGGCATCAGAACTCAGCCAGGTAGGCTCACACCTCCTGGAACTCTATGTGATACCTCCGAGCACATGTATGTTTTACAATATACAATTTAAAATCTCTTTAGAACATATGATATAAAATTTATAATATATAGTAAAAATTTATAACAATATATAACATTCAATTTATAATGGACAATATAATACACAATTTTTTCTTCCTTCCCCCTGGCTCCTGAAGGCCCAAGTATCCCCTGCCTGTGTCCAGGACTGGCATATGATATGCACAAACATTTCAAGAAGACTCACCAGGTGAGGATGGTCAAACCTGAGGGTCCTGTGGAATCCACTGCCACTCCCCGACACCAGCAGTCCGGCCCTTGCTGCAGTGTTGTTCTTGGCTGCTCACCTCCTTATTCTTAGTGCTAGGGCTTAGCACACGTTCCAATGAAGAACTCCATGATGCTGGACACCAAGAAGAGAAAAGGCAAACAGCAGCACTGAGCACCCTTTTTATAAACTCAGAATTCAATGGCATGCATCAGTTCTGATTGTCCAATCAGAAAACAAAGACCAAGCCTACGCAGGCCTGCACAGCAGGTATGGCTCCAGGCTTCTCCTGAGCTCTTACTGTCAGTCCCAAGTAGGAAGTGAGGCCAGGCTCCAGTGCGGTGGGGCCACAGGTTGATTGTTTGTTTCACTTTTGTCATGGAAATTATTCCACCATTCCATTTAAAATTTGACAGAGTTTTTCTCTTTCGGTACCGTATATACTCAGCTGCTTTTTCTCCTCAGAGTGTTAAATAAAGTGAAATTGCTTTCATATGACTCATGCATTGGGAGTGGTGGTTGTTTTTCAACCTCTGGATTACAGAAAGAAAACAAGTATGGGATGCTGGCATTGCAGGTGGTGGCTTAACCCCCTGCACCACAACACTAGCCCCTACCCACAGAATTTTAGAAGCCCAACGATTCAGAAACAGATTGTCTCATATGTGGAAGGAAGGCAAATGTATAGTTCCGGTAAGTCAGAATTATTTTCACTGCAGTAAACAAGAAAATACATGATATTTCAACTAGATGAGGTGTCAGATATCACACAAAGGATTCATTTAGCATCATCGTTACCACTGCTGTATCTTTTCCTCTAACAATTGGTTTAGACCCTTTGCTTTAAGTTTGTGGCCAGCCTTGGAAAGCTGGAAATCTTGATGCCAAACACATGTGAGATGAAATTTAATACAGAGGCATACCAGCTAGAACCACAGCCTAGACCTAATTCTAGTGTTTACCTCTTGGCGATAATTGGAAATCATGAACTGTATATAAGTAAGAAAACACCATCTCCACCTCCAGATTCCACATTAAGCACCATGTGCACTGACCAATAATGCTTTACTCCCTCCTCTTTACTAAAAGAATAATAAAAATAAGTCTATGATTGCTGCACTATGTTTATAAGATACCCCTGCTTAAAGATCCACCATTAAATACAAAATTTCAAGGTTGCAGAATAACTCTAAGAGGTTTCTAACTCAGAGAAAGTTCCAGGAGGCAAGATCAGGCCTATCCTAGTCTCTAGAAAAGTGGGCAAACCCTCAGGGCCGCAACTATTCCCACAACCCCCGAGGGGACTCAAAAACATGTGAGGGAGCAATATTGAAAAGTCACAAGTTGAGAGACTGTGGACTAACGGAACCCTGACAACCATCTAAATTAAAAGAGAACCATCATGCAGACATTGTGCAGATACCACACCACCTGTGGGTAAGACTTCCCAAGTGTGCACAGCACCAGCCCTGGAAATGCCAGTCACAGAGTGTAATGGTGCCCACGGGAGCTGTGCAGTGTGACCACTTTGCCAGTAATAACATCTCTACCCAACAGCTCTCAAGTAGCTCATGAGTATAACAGCTACATCGTGTAAAAACTAGCAGAAGTGATTTTTACAGTTTCAAGAATATCTACCAGCTCACCTCACACAAGTCAGTATGTGTCATTTCTGGGGAACACTTTATCAGCAAACTTCAACAAAAATTTCAGTCAAGGTTTTAGGTCAGTGAGTACTGTGGGTCTGCAAGATTCTTTTTCTTTCTACTTGAGGCTTTCTTTGAATGGTTAAAGGTTCTTGTTTTAAAACATTTCATATATTTTAGAGGAAGACTTACAGAAAGAGAGGGAGAGACAGAGAAAGAGGAACGGCTTCCATACACTAGTTCACTCCCCAAATGGCCACAATGCCCAGGGCTGTGCCAGACTGAAGCCAAGAGCCAGGGGCCTCTTCTGGCTTTCCGACGTGGGTGCAGGAGCCCAAGCACTTGGGCTACCTTGTGCTGCCCTTCCAAGTGCATTAGCAGAGAGCTGGATTGGAAGTTTAGCTGGGACTTTGAATCAGTGTCCATATGGGATGCTGGCATCACGGGCGGTGGCTTTACCACCTAAGCCACAATGCTGGCAACAAATGTTCTTATTTTTTACTTTAAGATTTACAAAACTACCCAGAAATCTAGAAATTTTATAACACAGCTAATAACTCTGACAGGAAGAGAGTTAATAATGGGTGCAGTAGGGCATCTGGTACAATGGTTAAGCAGAAACTACCTGACCTGCTGAGTGGACAGTGCTGCCTGTGACTGTCCTCCAAACTTACTTTATTTTCAGCTGTGAGCACCAGAGCTTTGAAAGCACATTTAATAATGTACAACACAAGGAGGCAGAACAAAAGGCAGTCAGGCACAAGAGTGCACTGCTCTAGTCTTATCTACACTGAAGGTGCGGAGGTCTGTTCAACACCTGTGTAAATTTCAACAAAGTCAGCCTTGTGGTAGGGAGAGAGCTGGCATGCAACGCCACTTCATTCTACAGAATGCTGACAGAGACTTGCTGTCTAGTGGTTCAGATGCTGCGTTCTAGTGGTTCAAGTGCTACTGTACATGAACAGCATCACTCTTTCAAAGACACACACATGAGGTTCACAGTTTCATTTGCCTTAACGTAGCATTTGACAAAGAAAGTAGGTAGCTCAATTATCTCCCTCTAGCAAATCAAAAGTCAGTGCAGCTCCCGGGATTCTTCTGGAACCTGCCTAACTGGCTCTTTTCTCAGGCTTTCTGTACTTGCTATTGCCAGACCCAGCTGGATGGGGCCTTCTACAGGTTATCATGGGGCTCAGGCTTTACTGCACATGGGTCTCTATTCAAGAGTCCCATCAGCAAAGAACCTTCCAAGACCATCTGAATGGCATCCTTTCCTGCACCTCGTCTCCCCACACACACCTCCTCCCTTGTCCTTTTCTCTGCTTTATTTTTCATCTGAAGTCTTCACCATACTTGACATTATATCCTACTGGATGTGTTCAAGGCTGACCCACTCTAGAATGCAAGCTCATAAAGGCAGACCATGGTCTTGTTTATCAAGCTATTCTCAGGGTCCATGGCCAGTAACAGCCTTCAATAAACATTATCTGAATTAATAAACAGGAATGGAAGCCAAACACTTCTGTTTCCAGCTTAACAGATGCTCACCTCCCTGTTAGCTTTAACAGACTCCTCTACACTGCCTGCCCTTGGTGTGCCAACAGGCAGTGATGGAAGGGCAGCTCTCCCCTTCCAGATGTCTTGTGCTAAAGCAGAGATGTGTCACTGAAAGGAATGTGAATTATAAAACCTGGTGTTGATGAAAGCACAGGAGATTTACCTCACTGTTTGTGGAAGTGTAGATGGATGCAACCCTGGAGGATAATTTAGAAGGACATAGCAACATTTTCAACAGGACTGTACTTGACCTAGTGATTCTCAAATAACACAGGTCATCAAAAGAGCAGTTCCAGGGATGCTCAGGGTATGGATATTCTAGGTTTCTCACTGCAGTATTGTTTTCATGGTGAAAAATCAGAATTCTCACACAAAACAGCAACCACTTATGTTGGAATACAATGTAATCTTATACAGCCACTGAAGAGAATTAGATCTATATGTTTATAATGATACAAAAATTACTATACTGGCAAGTATAAAAGAGAAGATGGAAAACCATCCTATTAAGAGCACAGTTCTGCACAAAGTCATTTCTATGTGCATGTGAGCACTGTACACATACAAATACCCCTCCACACACAAACACAAACACAAACACAAACACAAACACAAACACACACTTTTATTAATGCAGGGAAATCACCTGTAAAGGGGCACACAAAACTGTCAACAGTGCCTTGGACATCTCCAAATAAAACTGAGGGTAACTTCCATTTTCTTTTTTTCAACTTCCACTTTCTAAATCATAAATTTTGTAATGTGCACACTTTAGGGACAAGTAAATCACATTCAGAATAACAAAAAATATGCTAAACTTCATTTAAACTCTAGAGCCAAACATTTTCAATATTTATAAAACTAAAATTCTGGGCTCTGGTATCAAGTTCCAGATGAACAAATGCAGCCACTATTTCAGGCTTTATTTACTCCTGACCCAATGAGGCTGGGAACACTTTTCCTATCCTCTGCTCAGGGATAAAGCCATAGGAAGAATTAAAAGCGAAAACAAAACAAAGAACTTAGGGGCGAGCGCTGTGGTGTAGTGGTGACTCCTGTGGTACCAGCATACCATATGGGCAGCAGTTTGATTCCTGGTACTCCGATTCCAATCCAGCGCCCTGCTAATGTGCTTGGGAGAGCAGCAGAGGATGGCCCAACTCTTGGGCTCCTGCAACCCCTAATGGGAAACCTGGCTCCTGGCTCTTGGCTTCAGTGCACCCAGCTCCAGTCATGGCAGCCATTTGAGGAGTGAACCAGAGGATGGAAGATACCCCTCTCCCTCACACCCTCCCTCAATTCTTGCCTCCCTCTCTCTCTCTCTGTCTCTCTCTCTCTCTCCCCATCTCTCTGTAATTATGCCTTTCAAAAAAATCTTTTAGGGGCTGGAGCTGTGGTGCAGTGGGTTAACGCCCTGGCCTGAAGTGCTGGCATCCTATATAGGCACTGGATCAAGACCCAGCTGCTCCACTTGATCCAGCTCTGTGCTATGGCCTGGGAAACCAGTAGAAGATGATCCAAGTCCTTGGGCCTCTGCACCCACGTGGGAGACCCGGAGGAAGCTCCTGGCTCCTGGCTTCAGATTGGCGCAGCTCCAGCCATTGCAGCCAATTAGGGAGTGAACCAGCAGATGGAAGAACACTCTCTCTCTCTCTCTCTCTGCCTCTCCTCTGTGTAACTCTGACTTTCAAATAAATAAATAAATATTTAAAAATATTTTTACAAACCCTTGAATTTTGACATTAATTTATTGTTAATAATAATCATACATCTTTATGGGCTACAGTGTGACATTTCCAAATGCATATACAATGTCTACTGATCAAATCAGGGTCACCAACATTCCTTTGCCTGATATCGCTTTTTGGATACTGGAGTCCTGAAACTGCCCTATTCTGCTTGTTCACGTAACCCATAATGGGTTACTGTGAA